GTTGATCTACTTTTAACGTTTTCTTGGTTTGTTTTCTTTTTCTTTTCTTTTCTTTTGTGTATGCGTGTGTGGCACTAAGAATGGAAGCCAGGATCTTATGCATCAAAGGCAAGTGCTTTAGCACTGAGCTAAATCTCCAGCCCTAGTTAGTTGTCTGGCTACTTATTTAATTTATATTTTGAGACAAGATCTTGCTAAGTTGCCCAGGTTGGCCTTGAACTTGAAATTTCATTCTGTCTCTATTTTTCTCTAAAAATCTCATCATTAACCTTTGAAGGCTTAAGAGTGCCGGCTGAGTTTTTTGCAATTGATGACATTTCCAGTTGCTTCAGCCAGGGGGCAGCCATACTGCAGTTGTCTTTGCTTGCATTTGCAGGAGTTTGGGGTAATTTTTCGTTCCATTTGAATTATGTGTGCTGTACTACATATGTTCAATTTGATTGCCATTTGCATTTATTGATTTGTGTATGTTGAACCATCCCTGCATACCTGGAATGAATCCTCCTTGGTCATGATATATAATCTTCTTGATGATTTGCCACATTCTGGTTGCCAGTATCTTATTGAGGAGTTTTGCATCTCTGTTCATTAGAGATTGGCCTGTAGTTGGATATTTTTTGGTTGGATCCTTCTCTGGTTTTGGTACCAGGATAATAGTTGATGAGTAGCAGACTTGACCAATGTGGGGACACAGTGCCAGAAATAGAAGACAAAGTTGATTTAGTAGATCATAAGCTCAGTGATACTCCAAAAACAACAAGATATCCAACAGCTGCTAAATGACTCAAAAAAAAAAAGAGAACAACATCAAGCCGAGCATGATGGCACACACCTGTCATCCCAGCACTCAGGAGAATGAGGCAGGAGGATCAGTGTGAGTTTGAGGCCAGCCTGGGTTACAAAATAAGTACACGCTCAGTCTGAACTGCATAGCAAAACCCTGTCTCAAAAATACAATAAATAAATAAATAAATAAAAAAGAACAACATCAGAAATACAGAAATAAAGGAAAAAATTAGAAGATGACTCAAAAGGTATAAAATTTATTTACTGAAATCATAGCAGAAATTTTTTCCAAATCTAGGGAAAGAATTCAATATTCAAGTATAAGAGGAATATAGAACCACATAGCCATAAGTGGAAAAGAACCGCTCCATGACACATCACAATCAAAATTCCAGAAATTCAACAAAAGAAGAGAATATTAAAAGCTGTTAAAAACAGCAAGGTACCTATAAAGGCAAGCCCATCAGAATGACTTCAGATTTCTCAGCACAAACCTTAAAGGTCAAGAGAGCTTGAAGCAAAATTTTTCAAACCCTAAAAGAAAACAATTACCAGCATATGCCCTTGGCTTTTATTTATTTATTTTTAATGGTGGGTTTTTAAAATTTGTTTGAGACAAGGTCTCACTATGTAATTCATACTGGCCTTGAACTCACTATATAGTCCACACTGGTCTTGAACTCAACAATCCTCCTCCCTCAGTCTCCTGAGTGCTGGGATTACAGGCATGCACCACCACCCGTGGCTAACCTAGGCTTTTATATTCTGCAAAATTAGCCTTCAAAATTGGTGAAGTAAAGATTTTGTGTGACAAAGAGATCCATGACTACTAAACCAGCAATGCAGAAAATACCTAAGGGAATACTAGAGACAGGAGGCGCTGGGGATTTAGCTCAGCGGCATAGCGCCTGCCTGGCAAGCGCAAAATCGTGAGTTCGATTACTAGTACAGGGGGGAAAAAAAAAAAAGGAGAAAATACTAGAGACAGGAAGGCCACAACACCAAAGAACCCAAATGAAAGGATACATCTAACAGAGTAGGTTAAAAAAAGAAAATACAGGAATCAGTGCTGGAAAAATAATGCAATGACAGAATTCAATAAACATCTTACTATTCAGTAGTAGCTCTCAATGTCAGTGGTCTCAACTTCCCAATCAAAAGACATAGACTGGCAAAATGGATTAAAAAAACAAACAAACTATATTACCTACAGAAGACATACCTCACCTAAAAGCCAGTACGTACACTGAAAGTAAAAGGATAGAAAATAATACTCCATTCAACCAGTCCCCAAATGAGCAGCAGTAGCTATCTTATTTTCTGATACAGCAGCTTCTAGCCAAAATTGATCAAAAGAGACCAAGAGAAAAGAAAAAAACAAATTAAAAAAAAAAAAAGAGAGACCAAGATAGCCACTACCTGCTGGTAATGGGAACAATTCAACAGGAAGAGATAACAATTGTAAATATATATGCACCAAATGCTGGCATACCTAACTTCATTAAAAAAAAAAAAACTACTAGACTTAGAAGAATCAATAGGCATCAGTACAATCACAGTGACTTCAGTAGCCCACTGTTACAATTAGATCAACCAATCCCTCCAACCCCCCCCCCCCAAATTACAGCTAAATCAAACCATCAAACAAATGGATATCTACAGATATCTATAGATAACAGATATCTTCAGGGGCTGGGGATTTAGCTCAGGGGCACAGCGCCTGCCTGGCAAGCGCGAGGTCATGAGTTCGATTCCCGGTACCAGAAAAAAACAAAAAAACAGAACAGAAAAACCCCAGATATCTACAGAGTGTTTCATCTAACAATAGAATACATACTTTTCTCAACAGCACATGAAACTTTTCCCAAAACTGACCATATCATAGGCCACAAAGCATGCTTAAATAAATACGAAAGAATTGAAATAATCCTCTGCATACTATCAAATCATAGGGGAATGAAGCTCGAAATCAACAGCAAAAAAAGCCACAGAACTATGCAAACAAATGACAACGGAAGCACAATACACCAAAACCTATGGGATGCAATGAAAGCAGTTCTAAGAGGGAAGTTTACAGCTCTAAACGCGCACATAAAAAGAATAGAGCGAGCCCAAGTAAGTAAATAATGATGCATCTCATTCAAGGTCCTAGAAAGAAGAAAAATTCAAATCTGAAACTAATAGAAGCAAATAAATGAAATTATAAGGATCAGAGCGGGGGCCAGGCATAGTGGCGCATGCCTGTAATCCCAGCACTGGGGAGGCTGAAGCAGGAGGATCGTTGCAAGTTCGAGACTAGTTTGGGCTACAAAGTGAGCTCAAGGCCAGCCTGAACTGCATATCGAGACCCTTTCTCAAAAAAAAAAAAAAAAAAAAAGGATCAGAGTGAAAATTAATAAAATTGAGACAAAAATATGAAAAAAAAATCAACGAATCAAACAGCTTGCTCTCTGAAAAATGGGAAGGCGATCTGGGCATAAGGGAAGACAGGAGGGAGTGGAGGAAAAGGGGAAGCAAAAAGGATCAAGATGCAATAGGTATATGTACCAATTCCCCCAACGATGAACATATTTACTATGCATCACAAAGATACACGAATTTAAACATTTTTTTAAAAAGCCTCAGCATCACGTGGACAACACCAAAGTCTCAGGGGCATGGACAAAATATATACAAATCCTTTGCCAGAATGTAACACGGATGAGAGGGCATTCGTTTTTTATTCTGACAGTAGTCCAATTCCCCAATAGAATCGTCATTTTCATCTGAAACCTGGTGAGGCTGGCCTTTCTGAAGGAGGAGGAAAATGTACAGAGGTGCTGAGCAACCAGGAGGCTCGGCAGCAAAAGGCGCGCCTGCTCCAAGCTTGTCTATCGCTGCTGCATGTCGCAGCGGAATTCCTCACGGGGACAGTCTGTCCCGCTACATGCCATAGCCCGAGGATGTGCCCCGAAGCGCAGGGTCCTGAGCAGAGTTTGGGGCGGGACGCTAGGGAGTTGCTGCACAGCTTGTGTGTCCTCACCGTTTTGCTCAGGGGCTTGGCACTTTTACTCACGGGCGAGTTGGGCAGGAGTGCGTGGAGCCTGGCAGGGAACTCTGCTTCCTCGCTCCGCAGGGCAGCTCCGAGAGGGCTCCCCGCCGCCTGCCCCTAATCCGCTCCAGCCTCCGGGGGCGCTCGCCGTCCTCTTCGCTCCCTCCCATTCCCGCAGCGCCTCCCGCAGGAATTCTGGCGTGCTGTTTAAGGTTTTCGGAGCGGCCTAGGGGATACAAAAGACCTGCGGTTTCCTAACCAGTAGGGTGGCTTCGACTACATTTCCCAGAGCTTGCCTGTACCCGGCTGTTTCCCAGAAGCACACGGGCCGCACCGGTGCAGGCCTAGAACTCCATTTCCCAGAGTGCCGCGGGCGAGCCCCGCCTCCCCACCTGGCCAGCGCTAGGCGATCAGACTCCCGCGCCGCCGGAAGCAGCTATTCTGGCGGGTGGGGCCGATTCAGGTGAGACAGCTTGGCACAGCAAGGGGAACTTGGGGACGTGGCACAGGGAGACAAGAAGTCCGGTGCGGGCCGGGGTCGGAGCCGTGGGTGGGCGCCCGGGTGTAGGGTCTCCGTGGGCCTCGATTGGTCCGCTCGTATGATCGAGGGCGCGGAATGTGGGGCAAGACCCCTCCTGTCGGGTTGGCGGTGGGCCCTGCAGCTGGGGCAGAGCACATTTCCAGGATGGATTCTTGAGGGGGCGTCCAAGGCCGTCCAGCCAGCGGCGCGACCTGTCTTGGAGGAATCAGGATCGGGAGGGCCCTCGGGCACCAGTCGGCACGGGTGGGCATAGGGCTGCAAACGCGGGCACCGCCCCTTGCCTGTTTGTAGCATGTGAACCTCGGCTGGGAGCAGCCCCCACATCACGTAGGGACGCCCTACCTCCAAGGTTATGTGTCTCCCCACTGGTCTTTTGGAGGACATAGAATGTACCCTTTTTCTGCCTGGTGGGGTCGTGGATCGGGATGGTAGTATCCAGGGCACTGTGGCGACCTAGGCAGAGGCCTTCCTAAGGGAACTGATGGGAGGCTGGGTGACTGCATCCAGCTAGGTCTCCCTGCCTGCTTGTTGCCTGTTGCCTCTTGCCCCAGGGGATTAGGGTGCTGGAGGATGGAACCTGGAGAGTCTCAACCTCACTTTGTGACCTTCCAGGTGCAGCGAACATGGGTGAGCCCCAAGGGCACATGAGGATCCTAGTGACAGGGGGCTCTGGACTGGTGGGTCGGGCCATCCAGAAGGTGGTTGCAGATGGTGCTGGCCTGCCAGGAGAGGAATGGGTGTTTGTCTCCTCCAAAGATGCAGACCTCACGTGAGTTGAGATTATCCCCAGAACTCCCCAACCCCTCATCCCCAGGGCATCCGGTGGGTGCCCTGTCCAGACTGAAGTGCTCCAGACTCCCTGAGTCTGCCAGTAGCCACAAGTCTGGGCCTTCCTTGCCAGGTAGCAGGCCTGTCCTGGGTTTGCTGACCGTGCTCTGGGTAAACATTCTCCTGTCTCTTCCCAGAAGTCCATACCCTCCCATCTGTGAGGCACTGAATTTAGCCTTGTCCTTTGGCTGTCTCTCCTGCCCTGTCCTCACCCAGCTCCTATACCCACTATCCCAATCCCTACTGATAGTTCCCTCAGGCCTCCCTGTGGCCCCTGACAGCCTGGCTCCCCACCCAGGGATGCAGCACAGACCAAAGCCCTGTTCCAGAAAATCCAGCCCACCCATGTCATCCATCTTGCTGCAATGGTGGGGGGCCTGTTCCGGAATATCAAATACAATTTGGACTTCTGGGTAAGTTGAGGGGACAAAAAGCTGTGAGATCCAGGAGCTGGGAACTTCCTGGTAGGCTTTCCACTCTCACAGGCTTACGTTCCCACTCCAGGAAGTTCCTGAGGATAAGGGCTTGGCATAGTCTGGGGGAGGTGGCCCTTAGGGTGTGGACTTCCCATGGCCCACACTTGGTGGCGCTGTGGGCAGAAGGATATGCAGATGGGCCTGGAGGCATTTGGCTCAACACACAAGCTGTGGAGCTGAGCTCTAGGATTGGTGAGCTTGAAGAAGCCAACATGTGCCATGTCGCATGGGGCTGATTTCTGCCTCCTGAGCCCCCTGGATGCCACAGCCTCAGGCTTCCAGGATGGTTCTGGCCAAGCTCCTCTGAGCCAGGCCCACCACATACTTTGGGATGCAGAGTTATCTGTGGTGTATGCCCTGGGAAGTGGGAGCATAATGTAAGGGTTCTGCCTCTGCTAACTTAAGGGTTGGCCCATTTGCCTTTGGGCAGTGGCCTTGGTCTACCCAGCCTGTACCAGGCACTGGTGTCAGCAGGGGCTCCCACTAGGAGTCCTGTCACTCAAGGCCCTCCTTGTCTGTATCAGCCTTTCAGCATACTGCCTGGCTACCATCTCTCTCCTCTCCCCTGTCCCAAGGCCAGTCCAAATTTCCTGGCTATCTCATGTTGATTTAGGGACGTGAACTGTGAGTCAGGGGAGGAGATAAGACAGACCATGGGAAGTAGAGCTGGGTGTGGAACTTCTGGTGTGGGGGTGTAGAGGGCCCTCTTCTATGCAAGTGGGAGCCCCACCCAGAGCCAGATTGGGCTCCCTGGGTCCCTTCATCTTCTGCTATCTGCCCTGGCTTCTGCAGTCCCCAGGAGAGTGGCAGACAGAACCTCCTTCAGCCCTGGTGGGGGCAGTGGTGTCTGTAAGGTCATGCTGGGAGGCTGTGTCTTGTTCTGGGTACAGGACAAACAGCTAAAGGTACTGCCCGGGTTCAAGGGGCCAGGGTTTTTTACCCCCTCTGTCCCTGGAGGAGCATGCCTGCCATGGCAGTCTGATATGTCCCGGCTCCACCCCTGCAGAGGAAGAATGTACACATCAATGACAACGTCCTGCATTCTGCCTTTGAGGTGGGCACCCGCAAGGTGGTGTCCTGTCTGTCCACCTGTATCTTCCCTGATAAGACTACCTATCCCATCGATGAGACCATGGTGAGGGATGGAACCTTCTGGGGGTGGGACCTGGGACATGGGCAGAACCAGGTTGTGAAGGCCTCAATGCTTCTGCTCCCACAGATCCACAATGGGCCTCCGCACAGCAGCAATTTTGGGTACTCCTATGCCAAGAGGATGATTGACGTGCAGAACAGGTCCTCCTCCAGCATCCTGCCCAGGCCTGGCTGGGAGAGTGGGAAGAGGGTTCAAGCTCCTGTTTATGGATGGGATCAGCTGGGTGGGCACTGGTCTTTCTGCTCCTTGTTTTGCATCTGTAAGAGGCTAGTAGTGGCACAGCGGGCTCAAGACAGGTGAGCGCAGTAGATGCTGTCCCACTGCAGGGCCTACTTCCAGCAGCATGGCTGTACCTTCACTGCAGTCATTCCCACCAATGTGTTTGGCCCTCATGACAACTTCAACATTGAGGATGGCCATGTGCTCCCAGGCCTCATCCACAAGGTGCACCTGGCCAAGAGTGAGTGTGGCCACCCAGCACACAGCCAGCCTGGGTCTCTACCTGACCGGGTCCCAGCTTTCCTGGGATGACCCGGCCTGGCTGGAGTCTTCTGATATCTGCCTCTCCCCTGAATCTCAGGCAGCGGCTCGGCCCTGACTGTGTGGGGTACCGGGAAGCCACGGAGGCAATTCATCTACTCGCTGGTGTGTACAGGGGAAACATAATCCTTCCTCCAAAGGGCGGCCTGTTGGGCTATGAGGGAGGCTGAGTATAGCTCAGCGGGAGAAAGCGTTGCCTGGAGGAGGGACCTTGTCCAGGCTGAGCCCTGGCTGTGGCCTGACTGAGCATAGACGGCATTGTGGCCTCCCCAGCAGGGGCGTTGGTCATCACTGAGCTCTGACCTGCCTGTCCCACCTGTAGGACCTGGCCCGACTCTTCATCTGGGTCCTGCGGGAGTACAGCGAGGTGGAGCCTATCATCCTCTCAGGTGTGCGCCCTCACACTGTGGAGTCTCACCCTCTTGTCTGTCCTGCAATACCTGTCGGGGGCTGGGCAGGAGAGCTGACTGGCCACTGACCCATTGCTGTCCACAGTGGGTGAAGAAGATGAAGTCTCCATCAAGGAGGCAGCCGAGGCTGTGGTGGAGGCCATGGGCTTCCATGGGGAAGTCACAGTATCCTTTGCCTCCTGGGATGGGGTGTTGGTAGGACGCCATGGAGGGGCACTGTGCATCTGCCCCCCTACGTAGGACAACTGAGTAACAGCATTTTATTCGCTGGTGGTGCTCCCCCTGGCTGCTCGGGAAAGGGGCGTCTGCCCATGAAAAGAGGCAGAGGTTCATGACTGGGTGGGGGTGGGGGTGGGGGTGTTCCCTCTGCTGTGGCCTTGACCAAGGCTCCCAGTTTGATACGACCAAATCAGATGGACAGTTTAAGAAGACAGCTAGCAATGGCAAGCTTCGGACCTACCTGCCCGACTTCCAGTTCACACCCTTCAAGCAGGGTGAGCCCTGGCCCTTCCATAGTAGCCGCCACACACACCTGCAGACCTCTTGCCTGCCCTGCTCCTTGCCTTTGGCCCCTAGTACCTCTCCCTCTGTCCCCTACCTTGGCCTCAGTTTCCTTACTGTGAGGGGGTGGAGTGCCCCTCAGACATGGTCACCAGACCCCCATCAGAGCCTGTACCACTTGGGAGGTGACTTCCCCTTGTCCCGGAGGCCTCCATCTGCCCCACCTCCTCCCATATCACCTGCCTACTGCCTACCCCACAGCTGTGAAGGAAACCTGCACTTGGTTCACCGACAACTACGAGCAGGCCCGGAAGTGAAGACGTGAAGGGAGCAGGTGCTCAGCTGGCAAAGCTCAGCAGCCCTTGGCCTCAGACCTTGTCAGGGGCCAAGGATGCTGCCCAGCAATCCAGCCCATATCCCACCCCCTCTGCTGGGGGCTCCAGGCAGCTGGGCGGCAAGGCCCTTTTTCTGTCTGTCCTCAGGGAAACCAGGCCCAGGCGGCCCAGGACCTCCCTCCCTGCCGTCCCTGCCTTAGTCCGCTCTGGTTCCACTATCCTGAGTCTGGGACCCAATAAAGTGCATTTTCATAGGCCTGGCCTCAGCAGCTCTGTGCCCAGCTATCTCTCACACCCAGCACTGCTTCCCCAGCCTGACCAGCCTCAGGACCCACTGTCCCCCTGCTCAGTCCCAGAGAGCTGCCTGGCCTAGAGGCTAGTAATGTGAGCAGCAGGAGCACAGGTTGCATGTGGCTGTTAGTGGGCTCTGAAATGAGGGCAGGGCACTTCTCCAGTGGGCCCAGGTAGACCCTGGCCAGATCCCAACCCAGGTAGACACATGGCCACACACAGGGCTGGGTGACCAGAGTTCACTTGGGCTCTACCTCAGCCATGAGGACCTTGGGGAAAGAGGCCATGTCTGGCTTTGGACATGCGCTGGGGGCTGGTGATTGGGTGACCTCCCCAGGGCCCCAACCTGACCTTGTGGTAGGTACCTGCAGCTACCAGCGGGGTGAGCACCGTGGCCTTTCCAGTCTCAGTGGGAAACAGCAAAGTCCCAGAGGCAGAGTGGACAGTCCCCCAGGCAGTCAGGGAAGCACAGGGGTACAGACTCAGGAGTGGTGGGCTGTGGGAACTGAAGTGCCCAAGGACAGGTAGCATTGAGCCCCTTGGCATGTCTCCTTGTGGCTTTGGATCATTCACTCTAGGTAGAACTCATGAACCTAGGTTCCATTCACCCACGAGAAGTTTATGATGGCATAGGGCTGAAGACTACAGGTCCCTCTCACCTCCCCTCAGCCTGGGAGCTGAGCCGTCACTATATCTGGGAGCTTGGAAGAGCAGGGACCGAATGTGCTCCCAGAAGTCTGTGGAAATGGTTGGTAGGGTTAGAGGATGCCGTGAAGATAGCTCCAGGTGGGAAGTGACAGGTGCCACTTATGCAAAGCAAAGACCCTAATTCCCAAGGTTGTCAGCTCATGAACTAGAACTGTGAGTGCTGCCCACAGCCAGAAGGGCTGTTCTGAGCATCCCTCCACCTGTCTCTTCCCCTAGAATACCAAACCCATTCTTCCCCACATCCTCTTCCTAAACACCCAGGATGAATCCCTGAAGTGTCAGTTTCTCACCTTGCCTCAGCCCAACCAACCTTCTAGCACATTCTTCCTCATCTTCCCAAGATACTTCACACATCCAACTGTTTTCCACCACTACTACCCACTGATCCCACGCCTCCACCTGCAGCCTGTTGCCTCCTCCCACTGTCCCAGGGCTCCTCCCAGGACAGTCCATGGCCTCTGCCCTTCATCTGCTAATGCAGCCACCAGTCTTTCCTGCACTGCATTCTCTTTTTTGTTGTTGTTGTTTTTGGTTTTGTTCTTTTTGAGACAGGGTCTCCCTACAGAGTTCAGGCTGGCTTTAAGCTCACTGTGTGGCCCAGGCTGGTCTCAAAACTTGCAACAATCTTCCTGCCTCAACCTCCCAAGTGCTGGGATTATAGTCGTGTGCCACCACACCTAGCTGGTGTTCTCCCTCTGGCTTACATCCTCCTCGCCTTCTGCAAAGCCTGGCTTCCAACCAGAGTCCGCCAATCAGGCAGAGAGCCAGGACACAGGATGCTGACCCCACCGGAGGAATAGGTCTGAGCCAGTAGGGTCCACTCCCCAGGCCTGACTTGTCCTGATGATAAGTACCCAGCCTAGGACTTGCCTGTCCTGCCCTCCCATAGATTTGCAGTTGCCCAACTATCATCAATCTGTGCCAGCTCAGGAAGGGACACCCACTAGGTGTGCACTGATATCTAGGATCAGGGGTCAGAGATAGTGTGGGGTCACTTGCATCCCCACCTTCTGCCTTTAATGCTTTTTTCTTTGGAATCCAAACCAGCCCCATCTTGGGCCTGTTTGGGGCACTCCGTTGTGGAAATACCCCTGCGCTGCTTTGGGAACGACTCCAGGCACCAGTTTCTCACAGTGAAACAAGAAATGCTTAGGATTAGCTCTCCACCCTTCGCGACCCTGTCCCTCCGAAAAATCGCGGTGTGACCAGTATGGGAGCCCAGGAAGACCTGCCGTGGCTCCCCAACGGCCCACAGCACCAATTCAAGTGCTCCCGCGCTCCGACCCACCCCTGGACGCGACAAGTCGTAAGCCCCACCTACCGGTTTCTGTTCACCAATAGGTGGTGGTGAACCGTCTAGCTCCTCAGCCAATGAACAGCGAGGGGTGGGACCCAATTATCAATCTGACGAACCTCCAGCGAGATGGCTGCTGCGGGCCAGGACCCGTTGCGCGTGGGCTTCGTGGGCGCGGGCCGTATGGCAGAGGCCATAGCCCAGGGACTCATCCGAGCAGGTGGGTGGTGGGCCCTGGGTGGGGGGCTTCGCTAGGGGAGGAACACATTTGCCAGGCCGGAGGGCACACCTGGCGCAAGCTGGGTGGGTGTGGTGAACCCAGAGCCCCTGGGCTAGGGCAGACAGCAGGCTCCCAGGGATCCCCACGGTCCCTGCGGTCCCACCTCTGGGTTGGTGGCCCTTCCAATGGAAGTGGGTGGGCCAGGCACGGCGCAGACCTATGTGGGGCGGCCGGAGCTGCTGCGGGTTAGCGGCTAGAAGTCTAAGTGAAACCGGCTGGTCTGATGGGACTCAGGTGAAGAGAAAAAGGGACATTACCCGCTTCTTTTTTTTGTACTGAGAATCGAACTCAGGATCTTGCGTTTGCCAGGCAGGCGCTGTGCAGCTGAGCTATATCCCTGCCCCGACATTTCAGATTTGGAAGGTTTAGAACAAAAAAAGGCACCGGTCTTTTTTTTTTTTTTTTTTTTTTTTAAATTGAGTACGTGTTGAACAAATACTAGTTTGGATATATTGGTTGAAGAAAATTACAATTAACTTCACCTGTTATTTCCCTTTTTTTTTTTTTGATACCGAAAATTGAACTCAGGACCTCCTGCTCGCCACGCAGGGACGATTCTGCTGAGCTATATTCTCAGCCCTATTTCTTCCTTTTTTTAATGTGGGTACTAGAAAATTTATAGTTACGTATGTTTCAAATCCTATTTCTGTTGGACAGTGTGGATTAGTGCCAGTATATATGGCTGACTTACTGTGTTTACAACCTGACAGTTGACCTTTCTGAACCTCTGGTTCTTTTTTATGTTTGTTCATGGGCTCCATCCTCTCCTGGTAGTGGGCAGCTTTGTGGACATTCTGGGGCAGATAATTCAATCTGTGCATTGTAGGGTGTTTGACATCCCAGTCATTCCTCACTAGATGCTAATAGCACCTCCAAGGTGTGACAGAGTGTCCCCAGACACTGCCAGGTGTCTGCTGCATGGGGTTGGGAGGCCCGGAGGGGACCAAAATCATCTTGGGTGAGAACCCTTGGTATACAACAGAAGATATTAATGCTACCCTAATACTACTACATAGTATCTAGAAATAGGTGAGAGCTGGTGACTTTTGGCTCTCTGCCTTCAGCCATGCTTCAAAGTCCAGAGGGTCACACTCAAGCAGAAGATAATTCATTGCAAGTTTCAGGTGTCCATATACCTCCCACAGCTATGCAGAGACACTGGGGTTTTGGGATTTTGTTTTGTTTTGTTTTGAGCTGTGTAGTTCGGACTACCCTATGTAGCCCAGGCTGGCTTTGAACTCTCAGCAGTCCTGCCTCACCCTCCCAAGTGCTGGAATTACATGTGTGTGCCACCATGCCTGGCATGTATATTGAGTGTTGAGCCCACTCCTGAGTATGTGACTGTCACTGGTACATGATTAACTGCTCTGTGTTCAGGTTATGGTGTGCACTTCTGTCACAGATATTTAGCCCAACCTCCCCATCCCCTGCCTTACAAAGGCAGATGATTTTCACCAAGTGGGCACTTAGTTGACCTTTGGATATCTCAAGATACTTAGCCTTTCAGAGGAGCTTGGTCCCATAGAGCCATCTGTCAAGTGCCTTGGTACCCACCATGCCCCCTTCCAGGATCAGTGTTCTCTCTAGGGTTCTACTCCTTGGGCAACAAGCTTAAGTGCTCCAATCAGCTGTTCTTTCCTGGAGGCAGGAACTCCTGGGGTCTGTGTCCTCACAGGACCAGGTAAGATACAGGCCCTTTGTCCACCAGCAGGCAGCAGTGACTGCGTAGTAGCATTGAATGGATCTTATGTGGATGAACGTCCCTACTCTAAGTTCCTGCAGAGTCTCAGTCCAGCAGGGATCACAGATGGACCACTCTTGGCTGAGCCTGAGAATCTAGGCAGGCTTTTCCCTTTCTCCCATCCCTCACTGGTCCTCTGGCTTTGCCTTTTTCTCCAGGGAAAGTGGAAGCTCAGCAGGTGCTGGCCAGTGCACCAACAGACAGGAACCTCTGCCACTTCCAGGTGAGCAGGGGACAGAGTGGCTTCCTTCTTGGATGCACTTATTAGGACCAGGGAGTGTGGACTGTTTAGCTGAAGACTTGAGACTGCCTGAGCTGGGGTGAGGAAGGGAAAGGAATATCAGAGGCCAGGAGTAAGTCAAGGTTCTGGAAGAACCCAGCAGATACATGTGAGTGCCTATGTGTACACATCATGCAGTGCCAGGGTGGGCAGGGATGGCATGGGCATTTGTTGGGACAGAGGGCTCAGGGAGGTGCAGGTTAGGGAGTCTGAGAAACAGTGTTCTTTGAATGAGCCTTGGGCATTAGGAACTGGGACGGTGTACATACTTGCAGTGCAAGAGGCCTGAGGGGACCTATGTACACAACTGTGGTGTGGAAGGACACCCCTCATACAGCCCTGGTTCTGGTCCTGGTCCCCATACAGGCTCTAGGCTGCCAGACAACCCACTCCAACCAGGAGGTACTGCAGAGTTGTTCGCTGGTCATCTTTGCCACCAAGCCTCAGGTCCTGCCAGCTGTCCTGACAGAGGTGGCCCCTGTGGTCACTGCTGAACACATCTTGGTGTCTGTAGCTGCTGGAGTCTCTCTGAGCACCTTGGAGGAGGTGAGTGGCCCGTGGAGATGAGGCTTTGACCCCAGAATGGGCTCCGCTGGCCAACCTCAGGTGGCAGACAACCTTCTAGCCAGCCTGCACAGGTGGCCAGGTCGCCCAGCTGGATTAAGTGGTTGAGTTTAGGGCTTACTTCAGCCACTATGCCTAGGAAGTAAGGATGGCAGCCTGCGGCTGGCTGAGGGTCTGCCCAGAAGGGCCTGATCCCACAAACTACCTAATTCCGCTGTCTCTCTGGCCAGCTCTTGCCCCCCAAGACACGAGTGCTTCGAGTGTCACCCAACCTACCCTGCCTAGTCCAGGAGGGGGCCATGGTGATGGCACGAGGCCTCCATGCTGGGAACAATGAAGCCAGACTCCTGCAGAACCTGCTGGAGGCCTGTGGGCAGTGTGAGGAGGTGCCTGAGGCCTACGTGGACATCCACACTGCCCTTGGTGGCAGTGGCGTGGCCTTTGTGAGTATTGTCTTCCCTACAACCCCAGTAGGCAGGCCTTCAGCACAGAGAGGCCTACCAAGCTCCCATGAGAGCCTTTACCCTCAGAGTCTAGCTCTGGGGCCTCAAGGATTTATCCCCAGGCCACCCATGAGCTCTGCTGTCTTGGAAACTTCACGATTTGGTGGACCTTTGAGGCCAGCCTCTCTGCAGTTTGGGTTCTGACCGTGGCCATAGGTGTCTGTGGCCATGGCCTGGGCCTTACTCCTCAAGGTTCTCAGCCTTCTCCAGATTGGGTGCTGTGTCCAGGGGGAATGTCAGCTTTTTTCCCCTCCTCAGTACTAGGGATTGAACCCAGGGCTTATTGTACTGACCTATATCCCAGCCCATTTTTATTTTTGAAATAGGGTCTAAGTTGCTAACTTGCCCAGGCTGGGCTTGAACTTGTGATTCTCTTGCTTCAGTCACCCAGCATTACAGGTATATACCACTTTGGCCTGCTAGAATGTTGACTTTGAACCCGTTCCCCATGCTGCCGTTATAGGTATGCATGTTCTCGGAGGCCTTGGCCGAAGGTGCCGTCAAGATGGGCATGCCCAGTAGCCTGGCCCACCGCATTGCTACCCAGACCCTGCTGGTGAGTGAAGAGTTTCCCATGGGAATGTCAGAAAGGTCCAGGCCTATACCACCTGCAGTGGGCAGGAAGACAGGTTGTATATGGCTGCTTCACCTCCTCTGAGTCACTGCCCCTAATGCCCTTTTCTCCAGGGGACAGCCAAGATGCTGCAGCAGGAAGGGCAGCACCCAGCTCAGCTGCGGACGGACGTACTCACACCGGCCGGCACCACTATCTATGGCCTTCATGCCCTGGAGCAGGGTGGGCTGCGAGCAGCTGCCATGAATGCTGTAGAGGCCGCTACTTGCCGGGCCAAGGAGCTCAGCAGGAAGTAGAGCCCAGCCTCTCGAAGAGGCCACCTGCTCCTTTCCCAGCCAAAGCCCACAAGTGCTGAGTACCGCTGTGTGGTCCCCTAGTCCTCCCCTTGCCCCTTCTCTAAGGACCAGTTCTGGGTCCATCCACATGAATCTCTCTCCTCCTCTTATGTAGGAAAATGCAACCCCACTACGCAGGCCTCTTCCTCATCCTGGTGGTGGCTCAACCCCTAAAGAGCCCACTGTAATGGGTGATGTTGGTTATCGAGTACCTACAATTTGGGATAGAGGCCATGAGCAGAGCTGCTGGCCACAAAAGCAACTGGACCTGGTCTGGACCTGGTCTGGAGCTCAAGCCTTTCCTTTGATTTTCCAGCAGCTCCCTGGACTACAGCCAGGGCAGCTTCCATCCCAGCTCTGGGAACAGCCAGAGACATGGAGAGTCTATACGAAAGATACCCTCCCGCTCCATAAAGCCAGTGGCTGTGGCCTGGCCCCCGCAGGGAGCTGGAGCATCCTGCCAGCCCTTGAGCAGCAAGCAGGTGGTGTGGTCTTCCTATGGCTGTACCCAGGAACCTACAGCTGTGTCAGCCAGGTCTGTTGCAGTACTAGGGCAGTACCAGGTGGGCACTAGGCAGGTGGAAGAGCTAGCTGAAGCTGGGAGGGCTGCTGCTCAGTCAGATAGATGGAAAACCACCCCTGCCTCCAGCTGCATGTAGGCCTCCTTCCTCCTGCAGATCCTAAGCTCCTGGCACATGGTCAGGTAGAGCTGGGCTGTAACCCTCTAGGTCAAAAGTCCTAGGCCCTGTGCCCCACATCAGCCTCTGCAGGATTGAACTGTTTCCAGCATATCACTTAACAGCAAGTCAGGCACATAGGATTAGGAGAGGAGCAAGGCCATGGAACTGAGGCTTTGGACTCAGGCCAGTGGATAAGGAGGGTCCAGTGCTTTCCTGAGCCTCCCTGGCTGTAAAGACCCCAGGGTGCTGCACCCTACCCTCCCTGGCTCCAGAGGAGGCAGCCTTCTGAGCCTGTGCAGGAGCACTCCCACCCCCTGCTGTCCCATTGTGGTGTAGGACAGCTCCTATAGAGCCATCTGCTAGCTGGGTGATGTTAGGCAAGTTTATCCCATCTACACAAGAGTTAATGGCACTATTGGGTCAGAACAGGATGTCTCATACCTCATGCACGACTCCTCTACCACATCTGCCACTACCCTGCCCTACTCCTCCCTAATGTGACAGTCCCTGCCCTCCCCCCAGCCCCCTGCCCTCATCTTCCCACCCCTACTCCATTCGTAGATGGCTGCTTTCAATGACTCCTAGTCAAACCCTGACGCTGCCACCTTGAGAAGGGCTGGCCTGAGTCAGTTTACATTCTGGTCTCACCTGTAAAATAGAAATAAAAGATGCTTTACAGCGCTAAAGGAGCTAACCTTTGACCAGAGGCTGAGAAGCCCAAGTTCAAGAGCCTGAAATCTACTATCTCAAGACCTTGAGCTCAAAGATATTTCAAAGATGATAGGGACACAGGTACTATGGGCAGCAGAAAGTTCCTTTTGCAGGTCACTATCACCTTAGTTTATACAGATGAAGGACTGGCAGCTTTCCTGCATCCTGATGTCACTGCAGGACATACAAAGCCTGGGCACATTGGGGTCCCAGGATGTGAGGTGGCCTGCTCCATATAGGAACTCCTTGGACAGCCTGTCTACATCCACACTGATACAGAAGCCCTTCTACCAGGAGAATTGTTGAAACTGAGCCAATACCTATCTCTCCCTGTGACCAGGGCAGGTCAGATTAGGACACAGAAGACTCCTCCATCACCCAGTCCTAGCCTTGTGCAGGCCGCAGTGGAGCCTTAGGCCCAGCTGGTGATGATCCAGGACAAAGACATATGTTGGTTACTCAAGGTCAACTTTGGTGGGAACAAGAGTTGTGATCATATTTTCTAGGCCTTTTACTCACCCGAGGCAGTCAAACTAAAATTACTACTTTTCAAGATAGAAACTACAGAATGTGACCATGGTATCCTCTTAAATAGTACTGTCCCAGTTTTATGTCTCCCACCAATCTGTGGGGTATTTGAGTTACAAAAGAAGACTTAAAGAGCGATGTTCATAAAGTTGACATTTTCCACCTTTATTACACAAGTGCCACGGGCCATTGGAACTCAGCTATGAGCAAAGTTGAGTGTTAGAGGAAGGCCCCTCAACATAGCATGAACCCACAAGCCCACAGTTCTTGTGAAGACATGCTATTGGGGTGGATAAGCCTCACTCTTGGATATACTCAGCAAGGGCTCCACTGCTAGGCCCCAACTGGGCTACCTACAGGCAATTCCCATAGGGAGTATAGGGCTCAGGTCCCCAGAAGACTAGCTCCTAGAGAGGCATGCTCCACATCTTTTTCTACACATTGTTTCATCCACATCCAGCTGATGCCCAGGTGGCCACTCCCAAGTGAACAGACCTCTACGGGGAAGGCTGCCTGTGACCATTATAAGCTGTCTTTTCCCAGCTGAGAACAGCAGCTGAGTGGTGGCTTCAACAGAACTTATACTTGCCCATTTTTCTGTGCTCGATGCTCTTGTTTCCTCTGCCCAGGAGCCCTGATGACCCTGAGTTAAGGGCCATGAACTGCAAGAGCAGCAGTCTGCCTCAAGTCTCATCAGAGGCACTGATGAGAGTTGCCCAGTGAGGACAGCTGCCCACCCTCCCCACGTGCTTTGCAGGGATCAGGGAAAATCCTCCAAGACAAGAAATTCAATTTCCAGCAAGGTGCCTGCTACCTGGCAAGTGGTCAACAGCTGCCAAAAGGAACTGCCACTTCAACCCCCTTGCTGATTTGTGTTAGTCCAAACCAAAGGTGGCAAACCAAAATGCCCAGAAGGCTCAGGAAGGCACAGCAGTGAGGAGCAGGCCAGGTGGGTATGCAGGCCTGAGTGTACAGCCTTCCTAAGGTGCTCTTGCCACACAGCAAGGATCCACAAATCCTGGAGTGTCCCCATCACTTAAGACACTGAGCTGAGCTCAGAGATATGAGGTGGCTACAAACCAGTGGCAAAGCTACAAATGGAGCTGAGTTTCCGATGTGACATCTGTGTACCACTGTAGGGGCCCAGTGTCTCAGGGATCCATGGCTGAGCTGCTTACAGTGCCAGGCATCCAGGCAGAACAGTCTTCTCTACAGCAGGGCTCAACCACTGGAACCTCTGCCTTGGCACCACAGAACACCAATGTATCTCAATCTATAAAGATGACACTTTTTGTTTGTATCTTGGAGAACTGAACTCAGCCCCTCATGCATGCTAGCAGGTACTCTACTTCTGACCTAAACTCCCAGCCCAACATATCTTTTGAGCTTTCTGGTGGGTTTCCCAGCCTAGCAAATGCTGGGACAGACCCACTACCTGTGAGCTAACATCTGCCTTGTTTGTAGAGTGGCCATTAGGGGCCCAGAGAAAGGCCAGAGCCCCCTCCCAGACCTCGAGTGCCCAGATGAGAGGGATGAGACAGGTGGAGAGGCAAGTGAGAGGTCTTGCTCTTGACATCTCCCTACTCTTGCCCTACCATCTCTTAGGCACTGACATATGTCTACCTGGTCCAGGCCAAAGGAAGGGGCAAAATAGGAAGACGAGACAGAAACCTCACCAGTGAAATAGCTCTGATAAGCCAGGCCAAAGGCTGCTACCAGGGGCCATCCAGGCTGCATATGTGTCAAGGCCCAGGTATGTAACTCTCACGTACTCATGGCCAAGGCCCACTTCTTAGAGAGTCGCACCCCCTTTCCTGGGGCTGACTGGAGGTTGTAGGAGTAAAGACATTGGAGGTCCTTAAGCCTCGTTCCAGATGCTTGGGTCAGACCCTCAGCCAGCCCTGACTGCCCAAGGCTCTGCAGGTTCAGCGAGGCTTTACATGAAGAGTTCAGATGAACCTTGGCAGGCACAGATAGAGGCTGCTGTCTGAGTCTGGCTAGGTGAGATATGCATGTGTATTTGGTGTCCAAGGAAGCTTTTGTCTTGGATGTAGAAATTGCTTTTGGGAGGTGCCCCTACCTCCACCTGCCACCCAGACGGTGCACAGCCCTTCCCTTCCATGAACACACATGTAGGCTCCGCACACTCACCAACTCCATGTTTTCAAGACTCTGCTAGGAGGACGTCGGTGGTCAGCACAAGGGGAGAGAGCATTAGGAGCACGCAGCCTCCTCAGACCTAGCCTCCTGCTGAAACAAAGGCTTGGGGCAGTATCTCTGCAAAGGGAGCATGCCCCCTGAGATACATGGGGATCTCTTGCCCCTAGACCACCAGCAAGGTTTTGGACCCAAACTAAGAGGGTCAAAACTAAGAGGGTCAAAAGATGTGTAAGCTGGATGATCACTTGAACCCCTTCCTTCCTCTTTCAAATGGGACCACCCAGAAGTAGCTCCTCAGCCATACCCTTGGCAGTGTCAGGAGGTGAAATGTATGGGAAGGTGAGCCAGAAGAGCAGGGGGTGAGGGAACAGGACTAAGGCACTGTGGATTGTCCCCAGGTTGCTGCCAGTGCTCCCAGATAGATGAGGAGGCTGGCTCCAGTTACTGGGGCTAAAGTGGTCTGTGGCTGATGGGAAATTGGAGGAGCTTGTCCTGCCATTGGTCAAACCACCAGGACCCATATCCAGCTTGCCAACCCCATGGAATAAAAAGTCTGTTCGGCAAGGAATTTTCTTCAAGAAACTAACAATTCAGGTGGAACAAAAATCTGCATCCAGAACCTCAGGAAATACTGGGCTCCATCCTCTTTCCCCACTTCATTGTAAGCAGGTGGGTCTGGACTGGGAGCTGGAGGGCAGTTTCCAGATCCAAAAGCAGCCAAGACCACCCCACTGTTCCCCTATTTTCATAGCCCCCTCTGAAGACTCTTTAAAAACAAATTTAATGTATTTTTTAGAAAACTGAGTAGTGTGCCTCCCTACTAAGATGATGGGACCAGGTAGCACCAGCACTGCAGACAGAACTGGAGTGTCTCATCCAGTGCACATGACAGGTTGGGGAAAGAAGGAGGTGTGAGCCCAACAGGGGCCAGGGTAGGAGCACAGCCAACCGTTCTTGGATAGGTGCTGAGCATGTGCCCAGTGTGTGCAAGGGAACCTCACCTGTGTGTCCTGCCTAGAGAGAAGGATCAGCCAGAGTGCTCCTTCAGCAATCCTCCCCAAGAGACTGTAGACCATTGAGGCAGGATGACCCTTTACCAACAGAGCCCAAGCTGGGCTGGGACCCCTGTCCCCTGAACCCATGGGGTGCGCCACCCCAGGGAAGTTGGGAGATTGCAGCAGGAAAAGGTTACTAGGCTGGCAAGGTCACACACCATCATCAGGAGCAGGTGGGGAGGGCCCAATCCCTCCCAGCCTCCGGGCCATGCTAATGAGTGAGCGAAGCTGCACCAACCTCAAAGGCCCCACCTCCCTGGGGTCCTGGCTCTCTAGCCACCGAAGAGCTGTTTCTAGCCCCCAGATGGCCTCCCCTGCAGTAGGCACCAATACCCCTCCATGCTCAGTAGCCTCCTCCTCCTCCTCTCCACCTCCCATGCTAGAGGGCAGACTGGCTGGAGATGGTGGAGCTGCAGGGGCCAGTGCAGGGCCCACCTCCTCTCTGTAGCCATCAGGGAGGCCTCCATCATCATCTAGGTGCAGCCACTCAGCCACCTCTTCGGGTGCCAGGCGCTTGTAAGCCAGCGCTGCCAGATGTGTGAGGTCACTGAGCAACCTGCTGTGCTCTGCAGCTTCCTCAGCTTGGTAGGCCGGCTGCTGCCCAGGTTCAAAGGCAGCCCGCAGGCCCAGTAGCCAACAGCGCTCAATGCTGCCTGCCTGCACAAGGTCCCAGGAGAGGCCAGCCAGGTACAGCATATCTTTGAGCATAAAGCTGCGCATGAAGTCCAGTGGGGAGCCACTGGCGCAGGACACTGCCAGCCGCAGCAGCTCTCGCTTGTAAAGATGCTTGAAGGCCACCACCACGCCTTGTTCCAGAGGTGCAGGGATATGTGTCTGGCTGCTGCCCTTGGACAGGAAGAGCACTCGCACAGCACCATCGGGTGTCTGCAGCTCCTCCGGGGTCCCCAGGGGTTCTGGCCAGTACCTCCTGGGGGTCTCCTCGCTCTCCTCCAGAGAGGCCATCCTAGTGGCCCAGCTGGGGCAGGGCGGGTGGGCAACAAGCAGCACCGCCTTCTGCTGCAGACAGCTTCGGCGTAGGTAGCGCTTGACTCCTGGAACGAATTCCTCAAAGAACCAGCCGCGCAGCAGGGGACGGCTAAGCCAGGCATCGGGGCTATAGCGGTAGGAGGCTGGGAACTTGTCTTGGTTGTGGTGGCGCAGGCTGGGCGGGTCAGGCAGCTGCCCGATGACCAGTGGCTTCAGCTTGTGACTGCCAGTCAGGTTGGCAGCCAAGAGCACTGTCACTCGGTCGGTGCGCCAGCGGCAGCCCCCTGCCCCAGGGTCCCCGGCACCCGGGGGCGTAGCCTGCTCCGGAAGCAGCCTCCAGTAGAGACCAGTGACATTGGCGTTGTAGATCTGCTCGTCGCCGTAACCAGCCTCAGCGGGGCACAGCGCAGCGGGCGCCCGGTCCAGCAGGGGGCCGGCTCCCGGGGTTTCAGCGGGCTCCGCCTTGACCGGGCCGGGCGGTGGGCCTGCTGATGGGGGCTCCACCTCGCCATAGATGCGCTGGCTGGAGATGCCGTGGCGCTTTTGCCAGCGCCAGAACCAGCCGTGGCTGGCCTTGAAGGTGCACTCGGGCCCATAGATTTGGCGCGCGAAGGCCTCGGCCTGTGCCTGGATGAGTGGCCCCGACAGTGGCACGCCATGCCGACGCAACGCGAGGAACCACGAATACACTGCGCGGTCGATCTCCTCCTCATTGGCCAGCCGCATCTTCTTGCGCTGCGTGCCCACCTCGCCGCCCAGCTGGTCCAGGAACCAGCGCAGCTTGGGCTCGTCCTTGAGCCAGCCACGCAGAGTACCACCGGGCACGCCGAAGTCGCGGCACACGCTGGCTTGTCGCTCGCCGCCCTTGACACGCTCGATGGCTTGCAGCTTGTCCTTGATGGAGTAGGCCTTGCGAAAAGCCATCTTTACCGCCACGCCGGGCCGCGGTACCGGCGCGGTGGTCTGAAGGTGTGTGGCGGCGCTCGGGACGGGCACAGGGGGCCGCGGCGTCTCGGCGGGGTGTCCAGGCGGGAGGCGGCGGCCGCACTGTGTAGCTCGGTGCGGGGCCGAGCCGGCCGGAAGATCTGCGGGGTACATGGCGACAGCCGCAGCGGAGACGAAGGTGCCGTGGGGTCGCGGGAACCTGATGCCCGCTTGCTCTGGCCGCTCTGGGCGGAGCTGGAGGGCGGGGCTGCCAGAGTTCCTCCCTTTTGTCTCGCCAGCCCGGCCAGCGCAGGCGCATTGGTCTCTTCCCGGCCCCACGCCAAGGATTCTGCGCACTGGTGTCCCAGCGCAGGTCACTCGGCGCAGCAGGCCTATTGGCCCCGCCCCATCCCGGCCAGCTGGCTCCATTTGGCGCACCGTTGGGGGCGTTAGACAGGCTTCGGACCCATTCTCTGCTTCTTGAGCCAACTCTCCCAGTTTGGAGCGGCATCTGAGGTCCTTTCCCAGGGTCTTGTGTCTTGGCATTTACAGGCTGCGTTGCGCTGACAGCCTCGATATAGAGGAGGCGCGAGCTCAAGGCGGCGTCCCCCGCGGCGCCGGGCGTGGTACGCCCCGCTCTATTTCCCGTGTGCGGCGCGGGCGCCCGCCCTTTCCTCCGCAGTCCCGCGCTGTAGGTTCTCCTGCGTTGCCGCGTCCTTGGCTGGTGTGTGAGTACCGCGGCGCCGTGTTATGAGCGCACGTGCTGGAGACCCCAGGAGCCGGGTTCTGCGCTGGTCGGGCAGTGTGACTGGGTGGCGGCGGACCGGGACGCGGGGCGTGCGGCCAGGCACACATGAGGCCACCGGGCATGGCCCAGCCTGGGATCCTTCCTGCGGTCGGTTGGGGCTGACTGCCGTCCCTCGGAGGCCATAGTGCTTGTCTGCCCCAGCTGTTACTCGGGCCCACAGTTTTTACTCTTCGCTAATACGTGTTTATTAAGCATCTCCTGAGTACCGGTCTCTAGGCGTAGAGGGGTGTTACAGGCACAGGTGTAACCGTCGTGGAACTTAGGTGGTCCATGAATACAGGAAAGAAAGAGTAAAGGAGAATGCGTTGTGCTGAGTTGGTTCAAACGAAATAGCTGCTTCTAGGTGTGGATAAGGTGGTCCGGAAGTGTCCTGGGGAGAGATCTTGAAGGGGACGATCGCTCTTGCTGTTCGGAGAAAATGGGAGTTTAGAGGGCCTAAGCAGAGCAAATGTGGGTTCCTGAAATGAAGGCCTCCCAGCGAAAGGAACTTTGTTAAAGGTGGTCTGTTTTACAGGTTGACGGGCTTCTGACAGTTTTCGTAAGGCAGAGGGAGATGGGTCTCCTGCATCCCTGATTTCCCCTTTCTGATACCCTTTGGGTGCCCAGCCTGTGCTAGGGATGGGTGTGGAGCAGAGATACCCTCTTAGGTAGGGCAAAAGGCAGATGTGACAGGAGCTCCAAGTGTCATCTGAGAAAAATGCCTTCTCACCAAGAGCCTGGCACAGGAACTCAGGCCTAAGCCAAGCTCCTAGACCTACCTCTGCAGTGGCTCTCTGGGCCCTGAACCAATCTCATGGAGGCAAAAGAGTTCATGATCTGCCTGGAGTAAAAGAAAGGTGGTCTCAAGGGAGGGTAGGTCCTCTCCCAGGCTGTTTGATGGCCAGTTCAGCATGGGCTTCTGCTTCCTCACCTTGTAGTTAAGGGAAACTGAAGCATCTCCCGGTAGGATGCTGAGGTGGGGGATGTCAGAGGGAGCAATTGGGAGTGTGTACAAAAGGGCCTCTGGTGCTTTTGCCTGGGATGTGCTCTGGATGGTTTCCTGCCCTGCTTGGAGCAGCTGGATGCAGGACCCAGCCAAGCTGAGTGAGGCTGCAGGGGCTTAGTACAGGTGAGCAAACATGCTTGACATGAGGGCTTGAAGTTTGAGGAATACCTCTGAAGCCAGGCATGATGGCACATGACTGTAATTCAGGACTCTGGAAAGCTGAAGCAAGAGGATTGCAAGTTCAAGCCCAGCCTGGGCAAAATAGCAAGATCCTGTCCCAAAATTTAAAAAAAGGGACTGGGGATTTAGCTCAGTGCCACAGCGCCTGCCTGGCAAGCGCAAGGTCATGAGTTCGATTCCCGGTACCGGAAAACAAACAAACAAACAAAAACCCAAAATTTAAAAACAGCTGGGCATGGTGGCACACGCCTGTCATTCTAGCTGAGATGCCTCAGGGAGGCTGAGGCAGGAGGATCATTGGGAGTTCGAGACCAGGCTGGGCTACAAAGTGAGCTCAAGGCCAGCCTGAACTGCATAGGGAGACCCTGTCTCAAAAAAACAAAAAACAAAAAACAAAAAACAAAAAAACCCAAATTAAAAACAAAATAAACTACATATATAGCTCAGTTGGATGGCCCTGTGTTCAAACCCCAATACCACACCAAAAAGAAAGAGTACCTCTGGATTGCTGGCATTGATCATTTGTGGGCCCTTGTCCTGTACCAGGGTTCTAAGATGACCTGTACATATTGGAAGTTGGAGGAAGTGAGATACTCCTGTGAAGGACAGGTGTTGGAACGTGCTGTGAATCTCTAACCCCTCACCTCACTGACTTGATGACTTTCTGTGGCCATCTACTTAGTCTTTTTTCCCTATACAAAATGTCACACTCCTGACCCCAGCTAGCATAGGTATTGTCAAGCGTACCAGGAAAGGTTCATAAAGCAGGAGTAATGTAACAGATCCCATGGCTGTGCTGGGCTGGTGGATCAAGGCAAGGTATCTGGGGGCTGAGACAGATGGGGTTTGCTTAGCCTGGGGTGCAGTGGCTTTGTTGGTTAGTGTCAGCTTCTGAATGCAGAGGTACGCAGGGCCCCCTCCTCCTACAGCACAGGTTTGTGTTTCCGTATAGGGCTAGAATATCAGGAGTCAGGCAGGAACACAGCTGGACACTAAACATATAGAAAATTCTAGTAGGCAGCATCTGGTCCACAGACTCAGGCCAGGTGAGCCCAGAGGGAAGTGCTGCTGAGGTGGGTGTACAGGCTGTGCTGGCTGGCAGACCATTTCCTTGCCCACCTTTCATAGTTCCATTCTGCTGGAGGCTTGTCTGCATTTGAATGGGTGAATATCTTGGGCCCAGGCTGCTTGAGACACATCCCAGGCATGAAAAGTGTGGAGAAAGCCCAGAAACCAACTCTTCTGGAAAACTTCATTTTCACCATTTGTGGAGACCTGTGAGCTCTTGCACTATAGTAGGCACCGCTATGCCAGGTCATGTTCTCCAACCAGGAGTATTCTTGGCAGGGGGTCCAAGTTAGCAGAGGTCACAAGGGCCCTGTGCCCCCAAGTCTTCCACTCTAGATGTGCCCAGCCACAAAGACTGCACATTTTTTAGAGCCTGTCTCTGCCTCTGCTGGTGCTGCCAGTACAGGCCCTGGGCTGGATGGCCCCACAAGGCTGTTTTGGGCACCTCTCACCAGGATCAACTGCTCACTTGGCCCTGTGTGCAGCCTCAGCTGCCTGCACCCCAGGAATGGGTGAGGTCCTGATGCCTGGGTTGTGACAATATCTAGGAGTGGAACTGGGGCTGCTCAGGCCACTTCCTCTGGGTCCTCACTGTTCCCCAGGCTCCATTCTCTTTTCGGCAAGCTCCTGCTGCTGCCTGAATAAGGATCAAGGAAAAAAAAGTTGACCATGTATAGAAATGCAGTGTTGGTCTGTTGGGGCTCACAGGACTTGAGAAGTTCACTGTTTCCTGCTTCCAGGCTGTTCTTCCCAGACAGCTGCGTGGATGCGTCCTCCAGGGCAGCATTTGACCTCAGATGTCTGGCCTGGATGCAGTCAAGCTGAAGGTCCTGTCCTTTTGTGCACATGAGGAAATGAAAATTGGGGAGGACCCTGTCCTGCAAAGGCCTTTGTTGCTTTGCTGGAGCGCTGTGGTAGCAGCCCTACCTGCCTTGCCTCTTGTTCCTCTTTAAGGGTAATACTTGCTAAATGAGAGGGCTGGTCCCTCAGAGGGCTTTTGTCATCTTTTAGGCCCCTCTAGCCTTCTGGACCAAGTGCCAGTGCAGGAGAGGGACTGGGCCCCAGGGGGCACAGCTGGGTGCTGGCTCACCTTGTCCCAGGACAGGGTGGGAGAAGGTAGCTCCTTTGGTGGTCCCTCCTTGTCCCCAGGGCCTACCTGGGCTCAGCTAACAGGACCCCCAAGAGCTGTGCTTTAAGGGATGATGGAGTAACCGTGAGCATGTAGACTGGGCAGCCACCTGGGATTTTGGTGGTAGGGGTCTGTCTGAAGCTTACCTGCTATATACCACTTCCACAAGCAACCCCTAGATGGCCATCCACTGTCCTCGGTTGCCTGAGCTATTGTCTGGCATGACTGGTATTTCCTACTGCTCTAACCTTGCTGCTTTTCCTTCATGCTTTCCTAGGAGGCCAAAGCAAAAGTAAGTACACTTGCCCAATGTGTTGTGTCTCCTTTTTACCCAAGCCAGGGAACCCCTAGCCATTGCTTTGCCTGAGGGAGATGCCTGGCCACCTGTGAGGAGTTGGCCTTTGCGGGGGGCATTGATACGGTCTTGAGCAGCATCCTGGGCTGGTGCCAGGTGGACTAGCATGTGGCCTTTTTATCTTCTGTGGGGACGTGGTGGCCCCACATGAAGATGTGACCTGCGAAAACAATGGCCTTGTCTTCTGGTGGGCACCTTGGTGGTAGCTTTCTTCCCTGAGCTGCTGTTCCTGCTCTGAGGGAAAGCCCCAGGAGCTTGATCTGAGGTCACTGGCAGGGCATTGTTTCTGGGGGCTGCTGAGGGGTCTGAGGTCAGCCCAGGCCTACCCTTTCTGTGGGAGCAGAGCAGCTGGTGAGTCTGTAGAGGCTTGGTACCAGGGAAGGCTGTTGGGTAGAAAAGTCCTGCTGCCGTATTGGCGACAGTGAGTGATGTCACAATGCTCTGCCTTCTGGGCTTCTGCTCCTTCCCCCATCCCTGCCTCTGCCCCGGCAGCCTAGCCTTGGTAAGGGAGGGGTGTTCCAGGGCCCTCTCTGCTCTGGGCCTCTTGGCTCTTGGCCCTGGTTCCTTGCTGTGGAAAGGGCTTAACAAGCTGCCCTTAGAGAGCCTCAGCTCTCCTTTGGAGGTGGGCTTTGGGATGTGAGAGGTAGAGCTTTCTAAAGTCCCCTGCATGGGTGGGATTTGGACAGCTAATACCTCGGGCCATGGGAGTGAAGGTTTGGTTTTGTTGGGGGTGAATATTGGAAAGGGTTCTAGACAGTGGTGTAAAGGTTTGCTGTCCAACCAAAGGCTAAAGGCTGTCCTCTGGTGAGGGAGGGCCCACTCATCCCCAAAGGTGTGGCAGGTCTGCCTTCCTTTATGCTGTACCCTATGACCCTGCAGAAGCAGCAGGGTGGTAGCACCCTCCACCAGTCAGCTCCTGGGTGCTATTAGTTGGGTCTGGCCCAAAGGAGTCCTCATAGCTTCCTGTTGAGGCAGGAACCATGGCGGCATTTATTTGTATCCTTAGAGAATTTCAAACCCTGGGGATTCTCTTGCCATGTCACACCTGGACATGTGGCAGCGACTACAGGGTCAAAACCTCCATTGTGGCTCTAGTTCATGTTTCAGACCTATAACCCTTGTCTTATTATTATTTTTAGTCTTTTTGAGACAGGGTCTCGCTGTGTAGTTCAGGCGCTGGCCTTGAGCTCACTTTGTAGTGTAGGCTGGTGTTGAACTCAAAAAGACCCTCCTCCCTTAGCCTCCCGAGTGCTGGGATTATAGGCATGCGCCACCATGCCTGGCAATATAACCCTTGTCTTACGTGGGGCTGCAGATACCTACGGTGAGGGAATCCTGTGTCCAGTGAGGAAGCTGAGGTTCTGGAGGCAAGATCTTGTCCATGGGCTGCAAGTGGGGTATAGCATCCTTGGGATCCCAGGACCCCTTAGTTCAGGTGGACTCAAGGATATGGGTTGGCCACCTCCTGTTGAGGGGGCAGCAGCTAACCTAGGAGCCTGGGCTGAGGCTTTTTCCCTTTTGGGAAAGTCACCAGCATCCTCCCTGGTATTTCCTGTTGAGGTTGCCCTTCAAGGGTGAGCACGCAACCTCTGCTCTTGCCCATCTGCCCCTCCTTCCACTGGAAGAGCATTGCTCTCTGTGGGTTGGTGGTGTGCTTATGGCGATCACATATAGTGATAGGCCTATGGGTAGCCACAGATGCCTTTCTGTGAAATGAGAGAGCAGCCAGCTGGCCCAGGGCAGTGACCAGATAGCCTATGAAATCTAGCCATAGTTAGTATCAAATGTGATGAGTAATTTCTTAGTATGAGTAAGTCTCAAAAATTACATGGGCACTGGCCAGAGTGGTGCATGTTTATAATCTTAGCACAGTGGGAGGCTGAAGTGGGAGAATGGGAAGTTCGAGTCCTGCCTGGGGAATTTAACTAGACCTTGTCTCAAAATTTTAAAAGGGTAGAGTTGTAGCTCCATGCAAAAGCCCTGGATTTAAAATCTCCAGGACAAAAAAGGAGAAATTCATGGAGTATACTTACATTAGAAAGCTGATGGTTTATAGTAAGTCAGATCTGAGAACAGCGTGTTTCTATTTTTTATCTGGCAGCCCTACCTGGAGCTCCATGGGAAAAGGTTTCTATGGCAGTTGGATTTGGTGCTCTGATTAGCAAAGGCAACTTTTGTAGTTCAAATATATAAAAATATGAATATGTATGTTACTATACTTGAGTTCCCCAGTGGATTGACTTGAGCCCTTGCATGTTACCTCATGGAGACCCCGGGGGGCCTCCCTACCCACCCTACCTGTCAGACCCACGAGGGCGCGGGAGGCAGGTGCCTCTGCTGTGTTGCAACTGCCTTCTTGTGCTTGCTTTTTAACGCTGCGCGCGAAGATGAGGAGCGGGAAGGCCTCCTGTGCCCTGGATACCGTCTGGGAGGACAAGCACAAGTATGAGGAAGCTGAACGGCGCTTCCACAAGCACGAGGCCACACAAGCCACCACCTCTGCCCATCAGCTCCAGGTTGAGGTGCCTGCTGTGAATGGGCCTGGCCAGGAGGACACTAAGGATGCTTATGAGGCAGAGGCCCTTGACACCGGCAGCAGGAGTAATCCTAGGAAGAGCCTTGAGGGCAAGAAGCCCCTACAGAAGAAGAGGAAACGCTCCCCCAAGGGCTGGCTTGGCCAGGCAGACCTGGCCTTTGTGGGCCTTTCGGCTGACAGTGTATGGCTGGAAAAGCCACTTTTCGATCAGGCAGAAAGCTCCTACCGCCAGAAGCTGGCTGACTCAGCTGCCCAGGCCACACAGCCACCCGCCCTGGCCTCTCGAGGCCCCTGCATACATGGGACCCTGGTGGCCTGCCACCATGTAACCTGGGGCATCTGGGTCAACAAATCTTCCTTTGACCAGGCTGAGCGGGCTTTTGTGGAGTGGTCACAGGCCCTGCTGCTGGCTGCACAGGGGAGCCGCAGGCAGGGAGCTCCTGACACCAGCTCAAGGGCTGGCAGCCTCAACCTGACACTAGCCTGCCAGCCCAGCACGCCGGCCAATGGTCAGCCCACTCTGGGCAGCCTGCAGGCACTGGTGAGGGAGGTGTGGCTGGAGAAGCCCCAGTATGATGCTGCGGAGAGGGGCTTCTATGAGGCCCTGTTCGACGACCACCCCCCAGGGAAGGTTCGCCTGCAAGAGCGGGCCAGCCAGGCAGAGGGAGCTCGGCGGGGCCGCAGAGATCGGCGGGCTCGTAACAATACCATGGGAAGCAAGCGGGCTGGGCCACGTCGTTCTGACAGGGAGGCTCCCACTGCCTTGCCCTACTGGTACTTTCTGCACAAGGACGCAGAAGCCCCTTGGCTTAGCAAGCCCTCCTATGACCGTGCTGAGTGCCGCCACCACACCACTGAGGCCCTGCGCATGGCCTGGTGCCTCGAAGCTGCCTCTCTGATTCACCGCCCTGGGCCCCGGTCTGGCCTATCCATGTCCAGCCTGAGACCCAAGTAGGAAAAAATATATGGGTGGGAGCCCAACCTGGCCAGCACAGGGACACTGTATCCTGGGTGGGGACTCTCAGACCTGAGGACCTGCTAAAATAAGCTCAGGGCCTGTTGGGCAAGGGGTCACAGAATCCTGAGCTGTTGGGGGAGGTGTCAACCCAGGGTAGAATCCTTCGGTCCTTCACAGGGTCTCCTTTTGGATAGGCAACCCTAGAGTGGCTTCTGGCTAAGGTGTTGAAGGACGGGGTTGTGCACAGGGCAGGTAGGAAGCTGTGCAGCTGGGTCTCTGGTCTCTGGGCTGCCTCAGGGTAAGATGTGCAAGCTGTGTATTGGCAGCCCCAGCTGGCCTTGTCATATCTACCTCTAAGGTGAGGCGGTCATCAGACCAGCAGCCCCTATCTGCAGGATCTTGGTCTGCCCACCTCTCAGAGAAAGGAGACCTCCTTTCAGCCTGGGCCTCCAAGGAGCCCTCCTCCAAGACAGGTAGATGAAGCTCCAGCAGTTGTTTGTAGAGGCCAGGGGCCCGAAGGGCCAGTACAAGGTCTACCCCACCCCAGCCAGCTGGGCCTGGGAAGATGGAGAAGACAGAAATGGTCAGAGAAGGACTTGGGGGATCCCAAACAGCACTGCAGGGGTCTCCTGGGAAGTGGTGCCGGCCTTGGCCCCTGATACCTTGGGAGGGGTGGATCTGGGTTTGCCAGTGTGATAAGGCCTTGGTGTGAGGATAGGGATGGGACCCCATTGCAGAGGTGCCATTTCTGCTTGCCAGATATCTGTCCCAGTGTTCATGTACTCTGGCTCCTCACCCAGCACTCTTGGGTGAGGGGAGCAGGGGAGGGCTCCCTTTCCTCTTGTTGCAAGGGGATACTTGGTGAGGTCCAGTAATGGCAGGAGGTCCCTGGTGGCAAAAGGGGATTGGGTCTGTCTTAGATTTGGTGGGGCAGAAGGAATGGTCTGGCTTGGCCAGCAAGTGAATGGCATGGGTGGTACTGTGCCATGAGGTCTGGCTTACAGCTGGTGGGCTAGACTTGGCCCATAGAGTGTAGCCTATTGGACACTGGTAAGTGGTTCACAAACTTCTTGGTCTCTAGACCCAAAAGAACTTTCGTTATTTCTGTTCATTATTTCATCTTAGTAAGCAAAACAGAAATAAGTACTATAAGTACTTGTTGAAGAACAGTGTTTTTTGAGGGATAGTACCAGTGTTTTACATTGTTGCAAATCCCTCATACCTGGCTTGGTCAGAGGCAGCTCCACTCTAGATATTTCTGGGCTCAAGCTGCCCTGCCTTTACATGTTTGACTATGGTTGGAAGGGAAGATCTAGGGGACCCCTACGTCTAGAGGTTTTGGGAGCCCCACCCACATATTGGAGTGAGTTTGTGCTGGGGGCAGGAGGAGGTGACAGGGTAATGGGGTGGTGTCATGCTAAGAACCACTCACATTGCCTTGGGGGCCTGAAATCTGTCACCCAGGATGGAGATGGGGTAAGGGGTATCCAACGCCAGCAGACTGGGCTGGCACAGATTTGATATCTGAGATTGGGGTGGGGTATCAGCAGGGCAAGGTGGGCCACAACCAGAACCTTCAGGGAAGGGCTTCTGGGAACCTGTTCTCTGAGCCTTGCTGACCAGCTTCTCCCCCTCTCACCAGAAAAATGGCCACAAACTTCCTAGTGCATGAGAAAATCTGGTTCGACAAGTTCAAGTATGATGATGCAGAAAGGAAATTCTACGAGCAGATGAATGGGCCTGTAGCTGGTGCCTCCTGCCAGGTGAGGACTGTGCTTGGTGCTTTGGGGTGGCTCTCTTGCCAACAAGAATGGCCCCACTTGGTGGGCATAGACATGCTGAGTCTATGGCTACAGGTGGCTACAGTGCTGGGAGTAGTGCCTTGGCTGGCTACTGGGGTGCTTCCTGCTCTTGGCTTTTTGTTCAGATGCACGGGCCAGGAATAGACAGGTGTCTTTCTGGTGAGGGCCAGGCCTTTGCAAGTAGTCCCCCTGCAGAATGCCCACATCCAGGCCCTGTGGCCCTGGCCTTGAGCATCCTTGTTGCCCTTCTATAGAGCTTTCATTCTGTGCGGTACTTTGTTTGTTTGTTTGTTTGTTTGTTTGAGACAAGGTTTTACTAGCAGTTCAGGTTGGCCTTGAACTCACTTTGTAGTCCAAGCTGGTCTCGAACTTGCATCTATCCTCCTGCCTCAGCCTCCAGAGTGCTGGGATTATGGATATATACCACCACGACTAGCCAATACTTTCTTGTTCTATGAGCAAAGGTTTTTTTTTGGGTGGGGGGTTGTGGGGGTTTTTTGTTTTTAACAAGAACAAAGACTGGTTCTTTCTGCACTGTCTGCAGGAGAATGGTGCCAGCGTGATACTCCGTGACATTGCAAGAGCCAGAGAGAACATCCAGAAATCCCTGGCTGGAGTGAGTACTCACAGCCACATACCAGTGGGCTTGTGCTTAGCTGAACAGCAGGTCTGGTTTTTTTTTTTTTCCCCTCCTCAGTTCTGCTGACTATTTTGGCACTGTGAAGCAGAGATAGGTTATAGTATGCCTTGTGCTATTTTTCCAATACACTGAGTGCCCAGGCTGAATCTAAACCCACAGAAGATGCCACAGAAGATAGTCTTGCTTTCTCAGCCTTTCCGTGTCTCTTGCCTGCTTGTCAGCAGTCACCCTGGCCATTTGTGTGGTGCCACCCATGGGCTCTGGGGCTGAGGCATGCTGTTCTGCAAGGTGTGTACTGCAGGGACAGTCCTTGAAAGCCTGTTCTTCTTGCTTGCTTCCTGTTGAAGCAGCTTGTGTGTCTGCCTAGTTCGTCTTCCCTTGGGCAGGGCCTACCAGAGGAAGGGGTGGTCATTCCACAAGGTTTTGAATTCAGATCATAGGGTTGGCACCACTGTAGGTTTGAAGCCTGCAAAGAGGCCTTGTGGTCCTCCTTGGTCTCTGGGTTATAGGTTGAGGGGAGGATGGTGGCTGTCCTCTGTGTGTTGAACGGCTGGCTGGCTGGGGAAGGGTATACGCTTTAGATGCAGGGCAGAACTGCTGTTCTGGACATCAGGGGACTCAGAACCCTGTTTTCCCTGTGGGAGAGTGATGATATTCTGGCCTTGAGGGCCGGGTGTTAGTTTCCTGTTAACTGCTACAACAGACCACCACAAGCTTCATACTAAAGCAGCAGAGAAGCCAGTTGTGGTAGTTCATGCATATAATCCCAGCACTTGGGAGGCTGAGGCAGGAGGATTGCTGCGAGTTTGAGGTCAGCCTGGGCTACATTATGAGTTCAGTTCCAGCCTAGACTTCATAGCAAGAGCCTGTCTTTCAACCCCAACCCCCGCAAAAATAAAACAACATAGATATGTCCTCTGTGCTTCTAGAGGTCAGAAGTCCAAAATGGGTCTCATATGACTAAAATCCAAGTGCCAGCAGAATGGTATTCTTTCTTTTTTTTCTTTTTTTTTCCCCCCTCCCTGTACTGGGCTGAATCATCCTGCTTTGGCCTCCCAAGTAGATGGGATTATGGACATGCATGTGCCACCATGCCTAGATGGGTTAAAGATTGTGTGTAAAGTGCCCCTGAGGCCAGGATGTGGCCATCCCACTGTCATCTCTGTCAGGTCCTTTGGCTTCTCTGCCATCCTTTATCTGGCCAAGATCCAGTGCCCAGAACCAGGGCAGGCTGTGTGACCCTGAGCTACAGGAATTGTTCCTGCCCTGACTGTGTTGTGCCAGCCTTGGCCATTTGGAGACTAGGAAGTGAGACCCTTTTCAGGTCCCTTGGTGACTTCTTTTTCCGCCCTTGGTGACTTACTGCCTCATCTGGGGGCGGGGCATGTTTTCTTTGTCCCCAGGCCTGCTGTGGGATGTGCAAGGCCCCTGGCTCCCTGGCCTAGTTGCTCCTAACTCTAGCTCTGGGCAAAGCATTATTCTCTTGTGTAAAGGCCCTCTCTCTACCCTGGAGAGGCAGCCTGGCACTCTAGCCTGGCCTCCATTCATACATTCCTGCCAGTCCTGGTCTTTTTCACTGGGTAGTAACTGTTAGGTGGGCTTCCTGAAGCTCACTCTGTTCTGCCAGGCTAGCTCCCATACCAGACACATCAACAGGGGTTGTCGTCAGTATTGTTACAAGGGCTGTGACAGGACAGAAGGTCCCCAGGCCTGAAACCATTATGCCATGCAGTGGGAAAGGCCTGTGTATCTGCTGCCTGCTGCAAAGAGTGAGTTCTGTGTCTGAGCAGGTGCTGAGACCCCCATCTATATAGAGGAGTCCTGGGGAGGAGCCTGCCCCATGAGGTTGAGCTATGACCTCTGCATCCAGGTGCACCCTTTCCTCAGCCAAACAACACGTAAAGTCCTCCCTAAAGACTGTCGTGTCTAGGGGACTGGGGATTTAGCTCAGCGGCACAGCGCCTGCCTGGCAAGCGCGAGGTCATGAGTTCGATTCCCAGTACCAGAAACGACCAAAAACAAACAAACAAACAAAAAAAACAAAAACAAAAAACTATAATGTCTAGATGGGCTAGCAGTCTAGGCTGGACTTGAAATCATAGCTTGCCTGGTGGTCACCCAGAACCATCCACAGCTAACTTGGGAGTCAGATGGCAGGTGCTGAGCCCAGGGGAAGCTAGGTGTTGTTTGCCAGCTCCTTCCCCCACTTGCCCCTCAACTGCTGTCCCTTCCCATTTCCAGCTCAAGGAGGTGTTACCTGACCCCTCTGAGGCCCTGAGCCAGGCTGCCCTTGGGACTGTAAGTCCTGCTGCACGCTGCCTCTGTGTTTGGGTTGCCCCGGGCCCCCTTGCTTCTTGTCCTGTATTCTGTGCTTCGCTGAAATTTTGGCCAGTCTGTGCAGCCACCCTCTCTGAGATCAACAGGTCTTCATCACTCTTACAACGGGCTGAGCCCTAGCAGGAGGGCGTCCTGCCTTCCTCTCCTTCTCCCTTCTTGAGTTGAGTCTCCAGCAGTCCTGAGCATAGCAAGGGACCTGCTGGAGTCACTGGCCTGTGTTCCTGAATGGCTGTAAATGAGGGGACTGAGAAGCAGCCTTGGGGCTCTGAGTCTGCTTTCCCCCTGTCTCATAGAGCTCAGGCCCTGGGCCCTCCAGCGGGCCTGGTGGAGACCACAGTGAGCTTGTTGTCCGGATTGCCAGCCTGGAAGTGGAAAACCAGAACCTGCGAAGTGGTGAGTCCCTGGGCCTGATAGACCGGCGGGCGGGGGAGGGGGGCAGGTAACCCCTATCCTCTGACCACTGTGCTCCTTGCACCCCCAGTGGTGCAGGATCTGCAGCAGGCCATCGCCAGACTGGAGGCTCGGCTGAATGCCCTGGAGAAGAGCTCACCCATCCATCGAGCCACAGCCCCACAGACCCAGGTGAGCACCTCCACCCGATGCTGCAGAGGAATGTGCTCCCCCAGCTTCCACCTCTTGTGGGCTCTCTCCAGCAGCAGGAAGGAGCTAGGGATTATAAGGATTCACAGTGATGCCCAGATGGACCCCTGGGGCAGGGTTCAGGCAGCTTCTTTCCATGGAAGCTGTTTGTGAGAGCCATAGCCTGTGTCCTGGGGCTGTCTCCTGTGGGCTTCTCCAGATAGTGGAAGGCAGAGGATTGGGTGGGATTCAGCTTCCCCTCGCCTATGGCAGCACGTGTCTCCCATGCGCCAAGTGGAGCCCCCAACCAAGAAGGTGGCCACACCAGCAGAGGACGACGAGGACAATGACATTGACCTGTTTGGCAGCGACGAGGAGGAGGACAAGGAGGCGGCCCGGCTGCGGGAGGAGAGGCTAAGGCAATACGCAGAAAAGAAAGCCAAGAAGCCCTCACTGGTGGCCAAGTCCTCCATCCTGCTGGATGTCAAACCTGTGAGTTAGGGACATCTTGGGTCTTGGGGAGGCCAGGAGTCACTTAATCATCATGGGGTGGGGGGTGCCATGTGGCCCACCCAAGGCTCAGCTTATGGCTCCTTTTTCCTCCTCTCCTGGATCCTAGTGGGAAGTCAAGTTTAAAAATCTTAAATTAGGAGCCCAGCATGATGGTGCACACCTGTAATCTCGGCCTCTGATCCCAGCACTTGGGAGGCTGAGGCAGAAGGATCACTGCAAATTTCGAAATTATTCTGGGCTACAAAGTGAGTTCAGGGCCAGTCCGAACTACATAGTGAGACCCTGTCTCAAAAATACAATGCAGGGGCTGGGGATTTAGCTCAGCGGCACAGCGCCTGCCTGTTAAGCGCAAGGTTGTGAGTTTGATTCCTGGTACCAGAAAAAAACTAAAAAAAAAAACTTTCAAACAAAAATGCATTGCAATACAAATCTTAAGTTAGGAACAGAAACTTGGCAGGACATGTGTCAATTTGTAATGTTTCTGAGGGGGAGGGCCTGCTCTGATGTCCTGAAGGCTTCTAAGGCGGCTCTGTCTCTCTTCCCCTCCTCTTCCGCCCAGTGGGATGACGAGACTGACATGGCCAAACTGGAGGCCTGTGTACGCTCTATCCAGCTGGATGGGCTGCTCTGGGGTGGCTCCAAGCTGGTTCCTGTGGGTTATGGCATCCGCAAGCTGCAGATCCAGTGTGTGGTAGAGGACGACAAGGTGGGCACTGACTTGCTGGAGGAGGAGATCACCAAATTTGAGGAGCATGTGAGTAGACCACGTGGCATGAATGGGTGGAATAGGAGACGGGCTGACCTTGGGGTCCCACTCCTGCACCTGCCACCTCATATCAGTAGGGGGCAGCAGGCTCCTGGCCACACAGGACTGGAGGAGTGGGCCTAGATGTAGAAATTGTCTTGTGCTAACACTCCACCTTCACCTCCACAGGTGCAGAGTGTGGACATCGCAGCTTTCAACAAGATCTGAAGCTAGGCGTGCATGTGTGCAAGGGAGGCCCTGCCAATATTAAAAACTGAGACTCTGCACTCTGGCTCCTGTCTTGTTACTGGGTGGGCACTGCTCTGCCAGTTCCCAGGCCCTTCCCATCCCCCGCTTACCCCCATTTCTACACTGCCACTTGCACAGCAGTCCTGTGGATCAGGCCGCCTCACAGCCTTGCATGGTCACCTTGTGCGCTGCTCAGCTCCTGTCCCTGTTGGTCCTCACTTTATGTTGCAGGTGATAAGTCCATTTCAAGCTGCTTAGGCAGAAACAACCTCATTGACTGCAGAGGCTAAGATTTCTTCACTCTGCGCCCTTTGTCCCTGCTCCCAATAGGTGTCCTGGCCCTGCTGCAATGATGATGTGGGGTCATGTCATCCACTCTCCCTGGCTTTGGAGGGCCCTGGCCTTACCTGCTAGATACCTGGCCCCACTCCCGTTGGCCAGAATATGGCTAGCCATGCCCCAGCAACCCCATGTGGTCAGTGATTGTCTTGGGATTCCTCTCCTAGACTGTGACCTGTGTGGCTGGTATGATAAGTATCTGGGTTAAAGGGTGTCTTTTGGAGTCTTGTCAGAGCTGATGGCCTCAGGGTCCCTAGCCACAAGACAATGGAATCCTGCCACAGTTTTAGAAAGGGCTGGTGCTGTAACACAGCTGAAGAGCATTTATCTAATATGTGAGGTCCTGTGTTCAATGTCCAATATCAAAAAAGGTAAAAGGATTTCCTGCAGGACCTGGAGAGCACGACACCATAAAAGCAACCACCCTAGAACACTGGTTGGGCCTTCAGGCATAAGATCTTTTTGGCTGAGTTCGGTGATAACACACCTGTAGTCCCAGCTACTGAGGAAGATCATGAGTTCAAGTCCAACCTGGGCAATCTCCAGACTGTCTAAAAGGGGATGCAGCTCAGCATTTGAGTTCCCCAGGTTCAGTCCCCAAGCCTGAAAAACAAAACCTTTTTGTTGCCAGCTAGGATTGAGCAGACAGCTCCCTATCTCTTTCTTGGGTGTGCCTCTTCCGAGAAAGTTGGGGCATTAGCCCAGCAGCTAGGAACTCTTGAAGAGGAAACCTGCCCTGCCCTTCCAACCATTTGGGGAAGAAGCCAGGGTGAAGTCCTCCCATCCGCTGCTGGAGCGGCCGTCTCTGCATTCTGAACCCTGCTCTGATGAAAGTGGCTGGTGGCTGTGGGCCAGGGCCTAGAACTAAGGTGGCTTAACTAGTAGGCACTTCCCGGTGGGAGCAGCAAGCTTTCTGCCCCACCTACCTTTTACTGGAAGGGTGTCCCCGCCTCTGGGTGTTACCCCAGGCAAGGCTGCTATTGGTCCGGGTGTGTCACGCGGGGCGACACTGTACGATGGCGGCCCAGCGAGACACAGAGGGGCGCTCGGCGGCCCGGCCGATGCTCACCGACCTGTACCAGGCCACCATGGCGCTGGGCTACTGGCGCGCCGGCCGGGCGTGTGACCCCGCCGAATTCGAGCTCTTCTTCCGCCGCTGCCCGTTTGGTGGCGCCTTTGCCCTGGCAGCAGGTTTGCGTGACTGCGTGCGCTTCTTGCGCACCTTCCGCCTGCAGGACGAAGGTATCCCCGCAGACCTCCAGGGCAGTCCCTTTCCCACAAGAGTCCCACCGCCAACTGCACTCCACGACCCCGATTGAACTCCCGACCCTAGAAGACCTCCGAGAACCCAATTAGACTTTCGACTCCCATAGACCCTGCGACCCCCAGTCAGTCCCCTTATAAGGAGAACCCCTCACCAGAAGTACATACCCTCCTCCCCTACACAACGAGACCCCTACTCATCATCACTGGAATAAGACCCCCTGACCCCTCAAAACCCCGAACACAAGCGTCCTTGTCGTCCCAGACGTGCAGTTCCTGGCCTCGGTGCTCCCCGCAGACACGGACCCAGAGTTCTTCCAGCACCTTCGGGACCTAGACTGCTCCTCGGTGACCTTGCGGGCCCTGCCTGAGGGCTCTCTCGCCTTCCCCCGTGTGAGTGCGGGGGCAGCTGGCTGAGAGGGTGACAAAGGGGCTATTGGGGGCGCCTCACCACCCTTCCACAGCTGCTTCTCCTGCAGGTGTCAGGGCTGCTTCTGGTCTCCCTCTCCACAGGTGCCCCTACTGCAGGTGTCAGGGCCACTTCTGCTTGTGCAGCTTCTGGAGACTCCGCTCCTCTGCCTGGTCAGCTACGCCAGGTGGGTCTTAGTGATTGGACTTGAGGCTGGCCATAACTTAAGGGGCAGGGGAGGGGCAAGCTGGAGCGCTGGGGCTGGAACTCCAGGTCCTAGGTAACCACTGGCTTGTGGAGCTTCTCACTAGTCACCTGGGGTCTCCTGTCTCCTTGACACAGCCTGGTCGCCACCAATGCAGCTCGACTTCGCCTGATCGCAGGGCCTGATAAGCGACTGCTGGAGCTGGGCCTTCGGAGGGCTCAGGGCCCAGATGGGGGCCTTACTGCCTCAACCTACAGCTACCTGGGTGGTGAGGGCCTGGGGGAGGCAAGGGCTGTGAAGAGATCCCACCTACCCCTACCTCAGTGCTGCCCTCAAGCCTGCCTAACTCCTTCACCTAGGGTTCGACAGCAGCAGCAATGTGCTTGCCGGGCAGCTGCGGGGTGTGCCGGTGGCTGGAACCCTGGCCCACTCCTTCATCACATCGTTTTCTGGCAATGAGATGCCCGCTGACCCAGTCAGTATCTCTTCTCAGTGCCACTCTACTCTAGAGGGTAGACCCCAAGGCTAACTCGCCCTTGAAGGGGTGGGCTGGGTTCAGCCAAGCATACTGGCAGATGCCAACCTGGACAGGTAGTCCCAGGGCCACCCCAGGAAGCTGGCACGTGGGTGGCATTACCTTTGCTCCCGATCAGAGTATATTAGCCACTCCCAGGCCTCACTGAACACTAGGGTCCATGCCCCACTGACTTCTCTCCACAGATGTTGGCTACGGCTGCTGGTGAGAGTCCCAAGGTGGACCTGGCTGCCAGTGTAAAGTTGTGGTTGGAGCGAGTGTGTGCCTATCTGGGGCTGGGTGTGCAGGAGCCACACCCAGGGGAGCGGGCAGCTTTTGTGGCCTATGCTCTGGCCTTTCCCCAGGCCTTCCAGGGCCTGCTGGACTCCTACAGTGTGAGGAGGTAAGCCCCAGACTTTCCCCCAGGGATGGGCTTGGCAGAGCAGCTGCAGCCCCCAGCCTCTTCCCTATGCTTGCAGGAGTGGTCTCCCTAACTTCCTAGCAGTAGCTCTGGCCCTGGGAGAGCTGGGCTACCGGCCAGTGGGTGTGAGGCTGGACAGTGGCGACTTGCTTCAGCAGGCTCAGGAGATCCGAGGGGTCTTTCGGACTGTGGCAGCCCAGTGAGTGCCCCCTGGAGGGTATGCCTGCTAAGAGGACCTGGGGAAGCCAGGAAGTAGGGTTAGGGGAGGAAAGGATGGTGGTCCTGCTTAATACCCAGAGCCTCAGGCTGGTTTCAGGGGCCACAGCACAGGCCCTGAAAGGGAAGCAAGGGGTAGGGCCACCAGGAGCTCCTAACCAAAGCACAATTGTGGGTGTGGCTGACTGGGGGAAGAGGGGAGGCCACGGTGAATCAGAAATGTCATGGGGCTCCCCAAATTGCATGCAGATTCCAGATGCCCTGGCTGGAGTCAGTCCCCATCGCAGTCAGCAACAACATTGACGAGGAGGAGCTGGCCCGACTGGCCCAGGAGGTGGGGTAGAAGGGACAGGCAGGCCTAGGGTGGCTGGGAAGGTCCTGGGACCCCGCAAGTGCTGCTGGGCTCAGTGTCACCTCTCCTCCCAGGGTAGTGAGGTAAACATCATTGGCATTGGTACTAGTGTGGTCACCTGTCCCCAGCAACCTTCACTGGGCTGTGTCTACAAGGTAAGAACACTGTCTGGGCCAAGATGGGTGGATTTGGAGGACTCTAAAGGGTGAGGGACAGGGTCTATCCATCCCAACACTTTCCTGCAGCTGGTGTCTGTGGGAGGTCGGCCCCGGATGAAACTTACCGAGGACCCTGACAAACAGACATTGCCAGGGAGCAAGGCTGCCTTCCGGCTCCTGGCCTCTGACGGTGAGCCCCTTCCTGCCCCCATCTTGTCCTCCTGCAATGGTCCAACTTGCCTCCAAGTTATTCTCGCCTCCCCTACACATGCACAGGATCTCTGCTGTTGGACCTGCTGCAGTTGGCAGAAGAGCCACCACCCCAGGCTGGGCAAGAGCTGAGGGTTTGGCTTCAAGGTGCCCAGGGGCCCAGCATTGTGAGACCAGCCCAGGTGGAGCCACTGCTGAGACTCTGGCTGCAACAAGGACAGGTGACCCCCACACACATTGCACCCCCCAACCCCTTCCAACTTGATGAAGCCCTGGCCTGAGCCAGCCTCTCTCCCTGCTTCCTCTTTCCCTCTCTTGCAGCTATGTGAACCGCTTCCGTCTCTGACAGAGTCCAGAGCCTTTGCCCAGTGGTCCCTGAGCCGCCTTAGCCCAGCACATAGGCAGCTGAAGAGCCCTCTGCTGTACCAGGTGGGCACAGGCCCTGGAAGTGGGCCGCCCTCTGTCCCATAGTTGCCCACCAACCTCCTTCTCTCTTCTCTGCAGGTTGCACTCTCTGAGAAGCTTCGAGGTCTGGTGGACAGTCTGAGTAGCCTAGGTACCCCATGAGAATTCCAGGGGTAGGAACTGCCTAGAATAACACATATCACTTGCTGTCCCTACAACTTGTCATGTGTCATTTGTTCACCCAATCTGTTGCTCACTTGGCCTCCTGGGCCCTCAGGGGTTACACTAGAGTCAGCCAGGAACCTCCCAGTCTCACCCCAGGTTAGGCCGTGGGGACCAGATCTGAGGCTGAGCAGCAGCGTCACAGGGACATCCAGGGCTTTGGAGTCTGCCTCAAAGTTGAGGGAGTTATTGTGGAGGGTCTTCCCTATCAGGGTCCCCAGTGTGGAATGGGGTGTCAGAAAGAGTCCAAACATGACCCCAGGCCACACCCTGGCCTTGGGACCTCAGCTCCTGACCTAGGAGCCCAGGTAGGTAGCTCCAGGAGGTGGCTCACTGGGGGCTGATCCTACCTCTGTAGTGATCTTAGGGTACAAAGGAACTGCTCAGAGCCGGGCATGGTGGCACACTTCTGTATTCCCAGCACTCAGGAGGCTGAGGCAGGAGGATCACCTCAAGTTCAAGGCCTCCCTGGGCTACAGAGTGAGTTCAAGGCCAGGCTGAACTACAGGGTGAGACCCTGTCTCAAAAAAAAAAAAAAAAAAAAAAGGAATGGCTCAGGAGGGGGCTGTAGGTCTGGTAAGCATTGGCTGGGCCCTGGGCCTTACCTGTCCAGGCAGCCTGAGGTCCACAAGCCAACAAGGGCATGAGGGGAATGAATGCTGTCCCTGGGGCACTTCCAGGAGTAATCCACCTACCCAGGTATTCCACCAGACCAGCTCAGCTGGCTGCCCTGACTCAGGGAGGGGCAGTGTCTAATGTGTGATTGGATGAGGGTGTAGGGTGGGGATTTAGGGCAGAAGCCCAATCAGGCCACTCCGAGAGCCTGAGCCTGGAAGGAAATAGACACACACTCATCAGCACACAGTGCCTGGATAGGCTCAGGACAAACCACCTCAACTATGCGTTCCCAGGAACCCAGAAGAGCCCACACCCACAATGGTGGGCACCTGTTAAAGCACTTGAGAGGGATGCCCCGAGCTCAGAGATGATGATACCACCCACCCACTCATGCCTATCCCCAGGTATCTGGCTGGGTCAGAATACATGGACAACAGCCCAGCTCCTAACCCTGCTGGCATCTCTTCAGAACCATGCACAACTGCTCTGGGCCCCAGGCAAGACAGGCTGGGTGTTAAGGTTCAGGGCCCTTCTCCCCACTGTCCTTGATTTGCCCTCTCTGCTCTGGAGGTAGGCAGAGCCAGACCACAGACACTCTGGCTTCAGGCCAGCCGTTTACATCCAGCAGCCTGACAGGAGGGTCTGTGATAAGCCCTTGCCAGGATGACTCCATGTTTCCCCAGCCACTCCTGCCACATGCTCACACAGGCACGCACACACACGCCATCACGTCTGTCCGTGGGCACGCCTGTGGGTCCGCCCGGGGCCTGCTTCTAGGTCAGGCCTGCCTGGGCAGGACTTCCTGGGAGGGGCAGTGGCAGATGCTGCTCTCTGGGGCACCATGGCTGGTGATGTGTGGGGCAGGGGCCGGGTCCAGGGCCGGGGCCAGGGCCGGGGAGCCGCTGTGGGGGCCCTAACCCTGGCAGCTGTAGCTGAAGGGATCCGGGCCAGCCAGGAGCAACCCTTGGGGGCCCCTTCCCCCAGCCCTCAGCCCAAGCCCCGGGAATTTGAACCTGAGGCTGAGACCCAGGTCCAGCCTGCTACCACTGCCTCTGGGACTGAGCCTGGAAGTGGGGCCCCTGCCCCTGCAGCTGGCAATGAGCCCTACTCCCTGAACAGTGCTCAGGAGGCAGTCCCTCAGGGACCCCACCAGGTGAGTTGTGAGGGTAGGACACTGTGGGGGGTCAGTGGGGGCGTGGCTCATCTTCAGGCTCTCACTTGGACACTACATGGCCCAGGGCTGCTGGATCTGGGGGAAGATACTGGAGGGTAAAATGGGCTGGAGGACATGCAGGGGTGTGGATTTTTGTAGTAAACTGGGAGGGCTGGGGAGGAGAGCTGGAAAAGGCAAGGGGACCTCATACACTCCGCCCACCCTGCCCTGGGCTCCGCCAGAGTTCCTGGGAGGAGGGTGCCCTCACTGACCTGGCCATGTATGTGGCTACCTGCCTGGAGGAGGCTGGCTTTGCGGGGACCCAGGCCACAGCGCTCACCTTGTCGTCAGCCCTGGAGGCCAGAGGGGAGAAGCTGGAAGACCAGGTCAGTCCCCACTCCCTCTCGACCCCTGCAAATGGCCCTTCAAAGCAGGGGTTTGGAACTTGCGACTGGCTCACACGCCCCGTTCAGGCTGCGGTGGGGGTGGGGTGCTGGCTCTTGGGAGGGTCAGTTCAGCTTTAAGGAGGCCTGACTGCTGGCCTGTGTTTTTTCCACCTAGGTGCATGCCTTGGTGCACGGGCTGTTGGCACAGGTGCCCATCCTGGCTGAAGGGAGGCCCCGGCGGGCCGCTCTGCGAGTGCTTAACTCACTGGCCCTAGAGCACGCGCAGGACGTGGTGCGTGCGCTGCTGCCGCACTCCCTGCCCCCGGATCGGTAACCTGCCCCACCTACTTTCCCCGCGGTCCCACGCAGCTTCCTTCCCTCTTCCTGCTTGGCCAGGGAGTCTGGCAATGACCTGTAGGGAGCTGTAATGGTGTAGAGCCCCAAAATTCTCTCTGCTCTACTGCTGTCTCCCATCGATGCTCCTTTTAGCTCAGTAACCGCCTCTCTGGGCTTGTGGTCGCTGACTCTGGGGTCCTGCCTTGGGACTGCCTTCTCTTGGGAGTAGGGGCTCAGGTAGGGAAGTGGAGTTGCCCTGGGGACCAGCCTGGGGTTTCCCTTTGGATCAGGGTGAACAAACAGGCACCCTGATGCCCCTGGCTCTGCTTAATTTTGCCCTAGAAGTTATTTTATTCTCTATGATGATATATTGTTTAAAATAACCCAAGGTCTGTTTCCCTGTCCTTGACCTGACAAGGCTGCAGGAGGGTCACCACCTGGCAGCTGATCCTGTGGATCCAGCTCTGCTGTGATCTTCACAGTTGCCACTTACTTTCTGTAGGACCTGGGGAGGGAGAAAGAGGGGGTTTCCTTCCTCACCCTGCTGGAGTCCTCTTGGCATCTCTACTTCAGCCCCAGCAGCCCCCCAAATCCGGCATTTTACCCAGCCCTGTCTCATGCTGGGGCACCTTATGTCCCCAGAGCAGCAGCTGAGCTATGGCGCAGCCTAAGTCGGAACCAACATGTCAATGGGCAGGTGCTGGTGCAACTGCTGTGGGCACTGAAGGGGGCTTCCGGGCCTGAGCCCGAGGCACTGGCGGTGAGTGGCTCCAGCTGGCCTAGGCGGGGGTGAGTGAAGTGTGGACCATGTATGTCCCTTGAGGGTTTGTTCTCACTCTGTCTTGGTGCCCTGGCCCTCTGGAGCCAGACTTGGCCCCAGTGCAGCTCCAGCCTGAGTGGACTGCTTGTTCCACAGGCCACACGTGCCCTCGGGGAGATGCTGGCTGTATCAGGCTGCGTGGGAGCCACACGTGGCTTCTACCCACACCTGCTGCTTGCACTGGTCACACACCTACATGAGCTGGCTTGTGGAGGATGCTTCCCTGAAAGTCCTAAAGTTTGGGTCCTGTCCCACAGAGGGCCACCACACAGCCACGCCAGGTAAGAAAAGACACCCGAGTAAGTAGGGAGTTGGCCAGCACCTTCTTGGCCCTCACTGTCCACTCACTTGCTGTTCCTACCTCAGCTGCACAGTAGAGACCTTCAAAGCCCTGCTCACTGGGGATGGTGGCCGTATGGTGGTCACATGCATGGAGCAGGCAGGAGGCTGGAGGAGACTAGTAGGAACCCACACCCACCTGGAGGGTGTCCTACTGCTGGCCAGGTGAGGGGGCCCTCCAGAGGGCATACCTGGAGGAGGCTTGCTGCTGACCAGGTGCAAGGCAAGGGCATGGGGTGGGGAGGTCTTCTCCAGGGCTGTCAAGCGGAAGGAGAGCTCCCATTTGCCTCATTGCAGTGCCATGGTGGCACACGCAGACCACCACCTGAGAGGCCTCTTCGCAGACTTGCTTCCCCGGCTGCGCAGCACCGATATCCCACAGCGCCTTACAGCTATGGCTTTCTTCACTGGGGTGAGCTCACTGCCCAGAAAAGTAGTGAGGGATGGGTGCTTACTTGAACCCTAAGCGGCCGTAGCTCCACAGGGACCAAGAACATGCTGACTTTGTGTCCCCTGCTAGCTGCTGCAGAGCCGGGCCACTGCACAGCTCCTGCAGGAAGACTTAATCTTGGAGCGGCTTTGTACCTGGCAGCGCGACCCTGAGCCCACGGTGCGCTGGCTGGGTCTGCTAGGCCTCCGACACCTGGCCCTGAATTGTGGGAAGGTGAGACCTGGCTGGCATGGGAGTGGGACAAGGTCTGCCAAGGATGGCCACTAGACCCTGTCCCCACAGGTACGGCACATGAGCACTCTGCTGCCGGCGCTGCTGGGCGCACTGGGCGAGGGCGATGTACGGCTTGTGGGTGCAGCGCTAGGTGCGCTGCGGAAGCTACTGGTACAGCCAGGTGTGCCGTTGCGGCTCCTGAGCTCACAGCTGAGGCTGCGCCTCCCACCACTTCTGGATGATGTGAGTAAGGCCTTGCCCTGGCCCCTGCCCTTCCATCCCACCCCCAGCCATGCCTGGTCCCTGGGTCACCCAGCCCCGCCCTGGGCTCTCCCCAGGCTTTCTCTGCATCTCCCTCCCAGTTGCTCCTTCTACTCTGGCACTCTTCTCTCTCTCCGCCATCCTGACTGGGCCCTTCTTTGCAGGCCCGGGACTCTGTCCGTGCCTTGGCAGTTGGGCTCCTGGGTACGCTGGTGCGGCGGGGCCAAGGCAGGCTCCGGATGGGACTTCATGGCCCCCTTCGGAAGCTGGTCCTGCAGAGTCTCATGCCACTGCTGCTGCGCCTGCATGACCCTAGCCAAGACACTGCTGAGGTCAGCTGTCCCATCCAAACCTCCCTTCTCCTCCTACTGCCCCTCCCCAGGCTATGGGTCAAGGACACCCAGGAGGACCTTGAAGCCTCCCAGGGTTTTAGTCTTCCTTCGGGCCACTGTACTCAATCCCCCTGCCCTGGGTACTTCCTACCCTTCTGCCTACAGCTCCTTCTCTCTGGCTCTTGCCATTTTCTGAATCCCTAACCCTACTCCCTTCCCCCATGTCAGAGTTCAGAGTGGACCCTGGCCCGCTGTGACAAGGCCCTTCGCTGGGGCCTGCTGGAGGAGATAGTCACTGTGGCCCACTACGACAGCCCAGAGGCTCTAAGCCGTGTTTGCCACCGCCTGGTCAGTAGAGGAAGCAGGTGCTGGTAAGGGGGTGTGGTCAGCTGCCCACTTGGTCCAGGATTCTCCAGGCCAGTCCCTCTCCAACAGCTAAATCTGGTCACCATGCTCCTGATGGGGCAGATCCACAGCTTCAAGCTGTGCTACCCTCCCCAGGGACTTCCCACGGGACCTCAGTTCCCGGAGATACCTTTGTGCCCTCCTTTCCAGGCAGGCTTAGTGTTCCTGTCCTGCTATGGACCCTTCTGTTCCCAGGTTCAGCAATACCCAAGCCACATCCCCTGCTTCCTGAGCCAGACCCAGGGCTACCTGAGGAGCCCACAGGATCCCCTGCGTCTGGCTGCCACCATGCTTCTAGGTGAGGCACTAGTCTCTCTCAATAGGGCTCTGGAAGCTGTACCAGCCTCTCCCTTCTGGGGCATGGGGCTGGAGCTCACTGATTTGTTTTGGTCCAGGCTTCCTGGTCTACCATGTGAGCCCTAGCCATGTCAACCAGGATCTGCTGGACTCCCTCTTCCAGGGTGAGAACCCTACATTCCTGAGTGTGGGGTCGTAGAGAGATGGCAGTACTAGGGCAGAATGGAGGGGAGTAAGTAGGTCAGGCCCAGGCGAGGGTGCCGCTCCCACCCTTCAGGATCTCAGCTGCTGCTTTGCTCAGATCTAGGGCAGCTGCACAGCGACCCAGAACCCGCCGTGGCTGCAGCGGCACACGTGTCTACACAGCAGGTGGCACTGCTAGCCAGTGCACAGAGCCAACCGAGCCGGGGCCACCTCCTGTACCTGATCTCTCGCAACACCTGCCCAGGCAGGCCCACACCACGCTACGCTGACAGCCCATTCCAGCGCCGGAGCCTTGAGGGCCGGTGGGGCTGCAATGGACCCTGCTCACCTGGCCCAGTGCCCAGCTTCTAACTCAGGCATTGCATCCTTGCAGTCACTGGTCCCCACAGCAGAAAACCTGTGGGACACTTTCACGTGAGGTCCCCTGAGCCTGGTGCTGGACGCCAGGCCTTTGTCCTGGGACTACCTCCCAGAGGTCACCATAAGAGTGTGGAAGAGGGACAGCTGACACCATTTCACCCTGAACCCTCACCTCTTGACCACTGGGTCCTTCTCCCTGCCAGATCTGTTCTTCCTGCCTCCTGGAAGAAGTTGGGCCTGGCCCTTGGCCTGCACAGCCTCTGGCCTCCCAAGCCAGGATCTTGTGGGGACACTGTGAGGGCGCCTGCCCCCTCCTGGGCCTTTGCCTCTTGCCTGGCCTTGGCTGTCCCACCTGTCAGAGGCTTCCTCACCACAAGACATCGCCCTGTTCCTTGACGTGTCTGCTATTTCTGACTGCTGTCCTGGCTTAAGAGGCACTGACCTGCTCTACTGTCCATACCTGCTGTTCCCCTTCCCTGGCCACACGACCTCCCACCTCCTGTGACCTTGTTTAGAAGACTTTCTTGTTTAGAATCCCTTCCTGCTAGACAGCAAAGGCTGGGAGTACACCAGGGGCTGAGGTATGGGAGTGGGCATCTCGGACCGTGAGCAGGGGTTGTGGCACTCAGCACCTTGCACAGGGCTGAGTGGGAATGGTGGGACTGGACAGATGGGAAGAGGCTCCTCTGGGGGCTGCCAAAGCTGTGACCTCACGCCTCTGGGTGCTTGCCTGGGCAAGTTCCCTCACCCAGAAGGCCTGTGTTGAGACATACTCTCAACTTGCAAGGCCTCATTGTGAAGGGCTGGGCTGTTCCCCCACACTGGGGGTCCTCAGGGGCAGGCATGGGGTCCTGCTCACCTCATCTCTCCTGCACTCCATGAAAAGTTTTTAAAATAAAATATAAATACCCATAGCTTGTAGTAGATTGTCTGAGAAGGTGCTTATGCTGGGTACACCAGACTCAAGATCTGGCTTCAGCTAGGGCAACCAATGAAGCATCGTGCAACCAGAGGTAAGGGTCAGACTGGTGGCAGGTTCAAGGTCAGGCAGCTCAGGCTACAGGGTTTGGCCAGGGTCAGGGTGGGTTTGCCTTGAGATGGAGAACAAGTTAAACAATCCTCCACCACACTGAATCAATCAGATCACAGTTCTATCAGGACTGGCATTAGGGTCTCTATATAGGTGGTCCTCAGAGAGGTTAGGGTCAGGACAAGGGCCTAGCTCTTCATGGAACCAGAGGCAAGGATCAACACTAGTTTGGATCTTCCAAAGCAAATACCAAGCTGTGAATGGTGATGCACACCTGTAATCCCAGCACTTGGGAGGCTATGGCAGGAGGATCACTTTGAATTAGAAGCCGACCTGTGCTACATAGTGTGTTCAAGGCCAGCCTGGAATATATAGTGAGACCCTGTCTCAAAAAAACAAAAACTGAAACAAACAACAAAGCAGATGCCAAAATGAGAAGATGCTGGAGAGGCTACTAGATACCAATGGAAGCGAGGGAGGGAAGGAAAGGAGGCTGGACGGAAACACTGGACATGCACAATGGCCTTCAGGAGTTCTCAAGCTGGCCTCCTGTCTAGCAGTCACTTACATGTAGGGCTGGCTATCAGGAGACAGCCTAAATGGAGCTCCTTAGGAGTAGCTCTCTACCCCAAGAGAAAAGAAACCTGTTCTCCCCACCCTTCTTTCAGACCCGGGGGTGAATATGTGACACTGTCTCTGCTGTGCACAGGTTTATTTGCATCCCGTGGTATGGCTGAACCATCCAGTGGGCAAACTCAACAATGCCTGAGTCCACCCTCAGATGGGGGCTCAGGTGGGGAGGCAGCTATGGTGAACAAGGCAGTACTCTGTAACCCAAACTCCACAGTGCTGGGGAGAGCTCACACGGTATCCTTGGAAGGCTGCTTAGAGCCAGGCTGTCTTCTTGTCTTGCACATCATTCTGCTTTGGGTGTATGTCTACCCCACCTATCATGGCTCTGCTCCAGTAGCTGCTGGCCACACAGACTCCCTAACAAGATGTTTGCTTCACACAAAATATACATGGCCTCTAGGAATGTGACTCTGCATCAAAACTTTTCTGCTGGAATTACAGGGAAACCACCAGTGGCCTGGTGGCCTGGCCCCTCAGTGGGGATGCCATAGCTCCAGCACCAGGCCTATCACTTTCACCTGCAGAGAGCTGAACCATGTTAAATCTTCCAGCTGCGGCTGAGGCTCAGAGGACCAGGGGATGGCCATACTCTGACTCATGCACTGACCTTCCCAATCAGGCCCTGCCATAGGACCAGCTGGCACTGCTTTCATAGTCCCGATTGCCAGAGACCTCACTATGGTCCCAGATCCAAGGGCCAACAGTTGGACCCTCCAAATGGGGCTTGGTTGGGCTAGAAGGACCATGCTTATAGCCTGGCCTTGAGGGTTTTGGGTCTTCAGAAGTGGTGTTGTGGTGCCTACTTGCTCATTGCTTTCTAGGGCCTGGGCTGTTCACCCTAGTTTTGCTTTCAAATTACCTGAAAGGTTTTCAAAGGAGGACTGTGACCCTTGAGCTCCTTTACCATGTGTAGAGACTGATTTCTAGGGTTCTGTAATCTAGATCTAAGATATTTTCGGTGTACTCTGCTTTTTGTTTCAATATTAATTCCACTGCTGGGTCTTCTTGAAGTTTTAATACCACAGCCATAGCAGAACCGACTGTTCCTTCTTGTTAGCAGTTCCTACAAATGCAATGACCAGGCATGGTGGCGCATGCCTGTAATCTCAGAACTCAGGAGGCTGAGGCAGGAGGATCATTATGAGTTCGAGGCCAGCCTGAACTGCACAGTGAAACCCTTTCTCAAAAAGACAAAACAAAAAAAGACTGCCTGTCAATGATGTTATAGGACAGAGGGGGGTATGCCACTTCTTTCTCTACCTTCTACCAGGCTGAGAGAGCCTGTTCAGGTGGCTGTGCTCCCTATCAAGTAAAGACATGCTCCTGGCATCTAAGCTTTCAGGGGTGACCATAAGCCCCTGGTTACATCAATTATGCACAACTCTCCCTAGGGACAGGGTAGATGGGATGCTGGGTCCTGCAAGCAGTGGATTCACCTGTGTGCTGAAAACTGTTGAATTCCCAGGGACCTACGAAGCAGCGGCTGGGAGGCTTCTGATCTCTGTCTCTACAGGACGGGTCACCACCTGCTGCTCTAGAAGCCTCTGTGTGGCCCTGGAGTTGTGGGTACCTGCCTGTCAGCTGGCCCTCATAAACTGATTTGCCCATCTTTCACAGGCAAGCAGGTGTGCTGGGGAGGCTGGGGGGCAACAGGCACGTCCAAGAGCAGGCTCTCCTCAGCCTCATGCAGCAAGGTGGGGAGAGATGCTTGTTCTTGGCCCCCATGTCCTTTCTGGTCTTGCAACAACACAGTTCCCAGTCATACCCACCCTACCCCCATCCACGGCCCTTCAAAAACTCAGTGACTATTCTTTCCATTGCACATGTATTATATGTGCTACCAAAGGGACACATGTATATCACATTTATTGAGTTTCCCCAGCCTCAGGGTATCATGATGAACTGGCCCTGCAGTTGAGTTGGACTCTTGGCCTTCGGGGAGCTGCTAGAGTGTGGGCACAGGTTAGCAGGACTCTCGGCTCAGTCCTGACAGCAGTGCCAGGGAAGCATAAAGTGCACAGGTGGGGCCCTGGGCTTCTGGCTCCCAGTGTACCTGGGGGGCGTCCACCTGCAGCCGCAGGCCACATTCCTCCAGCAAGGTCCAGCCTGGTGCCTCCTCTCCCCAGTTACTCTCAAGGAGCTTGGGAGGCAGGGACACATCCCTCTGCTCTTGCCATGGGGTGCTTTGTTCCAAGAGGTGGTGCACCTGTGAGGACAGGATACAAGGTCGCAGACGTGGAAGAATTGGTCCTAAGCCCCCTCGCCCATACCACCCTTTCCAGATGTACCCAGGGCCCCATTCTAGCCTCCACACTGTGCCTTTCTCACCAGCTCAAGTTGTGTTGACAAGTCCCCTCTGTCCAACACCTTAGCCAGCAGCTGTTGCTGGGTTTCACTCAGTGCTGGGGAGAGACCTGGGCTGAGAGGATGTTCTGGAAGTCCCAGCAGGGAACCCAGCCCTTCCTCCTGTGCTGTATATATATCCACCCACCCCAGGAGCCACTCACCAGTCAGTGCCCCCAGCAGGTAAAAGACAGGGGCAGCGAGTGCCTGCACCAGCACCCCGGAGGACTGCACCAGGCATCCAAGGATGTCACCTGCTGGACCACACAGAGACTTCACCTGCGTGGCACCACACAGGCCCTGTGCCAGCTGGAGGAGAGGTGGTGGTGAGCCTGGGCTGGTTGGGGCAGACCCTGTCTCCCTACCCACTGCACCAGCACTCACCAAAGTCTCTAAGTCCTGTAGGGCTGAGGGGTCACACAGGATCTCCCCCAGGTTCAGCAGCAGCTGCAGCCTCAGCTCCCTCTCCAGCTTCTGCAGTTCTGCAGAGCCAGCCTCCACCTCTGTCCGCAGGCCTTGGAAGTCTTCTGTGACCACCAACTCCTCAGAGGCCCCATCTGCATGGACAGCCCTGGTCAGTCATGGAGGATAGCCCACGGGGATCCCAGCAGTGGTCAAGGGGTACTGACCTGTCCAGAGCTTGAAGCGCTCATGGATGAGCCCCAACAGTGAGGAGAGGCTGAAGGGATGCTGTGACTGGCCTTCTGGGAAGCGTGTGAGATCGGGAAGGGGGACAGGGCTTCTCAGTGCTCGGAGGGGTCCCCAAGCCAGAGAAGGTGAGGCTTCCCTGAGCCCTCCCAGCCCCCACCCTCGCCCCATCCCCAACACTGACAGCCCAGGACAGGCAGGAGGCCAAGCAGTTCCACCCTCACTCAACCACCACACTTTGTGTGTGGTGCCCACCCCCTCAGGAGGCCACCCAGCCATGCTGTTCCCTGAGCATGACGGAAGTCCTCAGTGGTGACAGAAACAGGCTTCTCCCACTGGGCTAGGGGTCCTCGGCCTCACCTGTGGGAGGTGGCGGGAAGGTCCTCCGTTTCTCATCCGCGAAGAAAAAGATGTCTGGCAGCAGGTGAGAGCAGACAGGGAGAGGCAGGTCAATGGGCTGCCTCTATCCAAGGGGTTCCCCTGCCAAGTGAAGCCCTGCCCCAGTCACCTACACACCAGAGTCCAGGCTGCTTGCCCCTGACCTGAACGGCTGTGCAGCCAGATGCCCACAATACCCGCTCCTCAGGCCTCCTGCCTCTGCCATAGAGCTGGGCCCCCAGAGATGTACCCAGTCCCCTGCTCACCCCAGTTAGAGTCAATGACCAGCTGGGCCACTTGGAATGCGAGGATGCTGCCTGCAGGGATGGTGACCTTATTCTCCCGGCTCAAGTGGCCCTCACCATCACCCTGAGGGATGGATACGGGTTCAGGGCTGTGTTCTGGGTGCAGGGTTATAGGCATGGGTGTGGGTTGGGTTCTGGTGATAGGCTTGCCATCAGTGGTGGCCAATTCAGCCTTTGGGCAGCTCTGGCTCTGATCAAGTGTGAAGCTGTGAGCTGGAAGGGTCTTGAAAGAGCCAAGCCCTACTGCTGCCTGTACCCTGGGATGTTGATCTAGCTCTCCCACTCCTGCTGCTGCCACCTTCCCACATGGGGCCAGGTAGGGTCCAGGGCAGGCCACACACCTTCAAGCACATGGCTCCAGGCACAGCACACTGGCCTGAGCCCTCCCGCTTGCGCGTATGGGTGACCTCCACCTCCTCTTGTGTCTGTAGCACCTTCGTCACCACATACACATCGTCCCTGCAACTCCGAAGCTGCTGCAGAATTTTGTGCTCGGGCTGCCGCAGGCGCCTGCAGGAAACTCACTGGGGTGCACCTACAACAGACTGGCTTCCCTTTCCAGGCCCCACCAGCAGGCAGGGTCAAGCAAGGAGGCCATCTAGGAGTCTGCAGATACCAGGCATAGACACACTTCCTGAGTGCTCCTGATGGTGTCTAGGTGGGTATGAGGTGGTGGGAGAAGGTCCAGTAGAGAGATGGCACCCTGGGGATGCTGCCCATACTCTACTCTTTATCATGCTGCGTCCCTGCCACTCCCTTCTCACAGCAGCCGGTGGATCAATCCACCTACGGGCCCCAGGTTCTGCCAATACACCCCATCCCTTGGGATCACTACTGGCAACTGGCCCATGTCGCCTCCTTCCCTGAGAACCCACCATCAGCCACAGCACTCCCTTGCCTCTGGGACTTCCCTACCCAGTGCTCACACAGACAGTGTCTGAGAACTGTCCTCCTAATGCATGCCTATGGCCTTCCCATGAACATAGCTACTCTGGTTCAGAGGGCCCTTGTCCCCTCTGGGACTCACCTCTCCTGCAGCATGTGAACCCAGGTATTCGAGCCCACACTCAGGGTGCACACGTTCACTGAGGTGCTGGAGCTGCCAGACACTGCGGCCCCACCTGCGATCTTCCCTTGTCCTGGGACTGCCACCTCCATGTTGCCCTGCACCTTCCCGTCCGTGTTATCATAGAAGTGGAAGGTGTTACCATGTTCCAAATCTGAAGCAAAACCAGACTTAAGGCCTTGTCCCTCCGGCTATGGCCTCGTCCCATCCCCAGGGTACAGGACACAGCCCACTACCTTCTTCTACCCGGCGCAGTTGGGGCTCTGCCTCAGTATGAGTTTGGATACCTGGTTCTGGGGCATCGGGATCCAAGATGTCTTTGATTGATAGGTCGACACATGAGTAACGGGGTTTCCAGAACCACGAGCTGGGGGGCTTCCTTCTCAGCAGGGAATAGGGCCGGAAGCTGGTAGAGTTCTGAAGGCTGTCCACTGGGATGAGCTCTCTCCTGGGGTCCAGCTCCTGGACCACACTCCGGACCACACTCTCAAAGGCCGAAGGCATTCTCTTGAGGAGGGCAGATGGGTCAGTCAGGGCTTGAATGCCTCCAACACAGGAGACTTCAGTCCTTGCAAAGCAGGCTGTGTCTGTCAGCAGGGAGCTGCAATTTGACTGGCTTTGGGATCTGCCCTGGGGGTTGCTGAAACACTTATTAGGTATGTCTGAGTCATGGAAGTGTGGCTTTAGGGTCTAAGTGGTCCCTAGGCCCTTCCTCCCCTTCTTCTACTCTATTCCCTGCTCTGCTTACTGGCTGCTATGAACTGAGTAGCTTTGCTCTGCCATCACCTTTGCCATGAGGTCTCTGCCTTGGAGGCAGCAGGTTATGGACTGAAACTATGAGCAAAATAAACCTCTCCTTTAAATGTTGGGTGTCAGGTATTTCGTCCAGTGATGGGAAAGCGGACTGATACATGTCCCTATCCAGATAGTACTGGGACATAGTCTAATGGGCAGAATCTCTTGCCCCTGACTACCACCCAGCACAGAAAGAAACACTGTACACTTTGTCCCTGAGCCACTGTTTCTCTATCTGGGCCAGAACATGCCAGGCTGGGACATCCCTCGCAGCGCTTAGTGGGATCTGGACCATCCTCACCAACGCTGTGTGGTGGTCAGTGTTGGAGTCAGCCCTTGGCCCCTCACAGCTAAGGGCTACATACCTTGAAAGCCCAACAGGCATAGGGCAGCTATGGTGGGCAGTGCCTACTCCTCTGGCAGCCTTTTCCTAGCTGAGGAGCTCAGAGGGCTGAGGAGCACATAGAAGCCCCCCACCTCCAAGGCACTTGGCATAGGGCAAGTCTGGCCAGTGCCCTCCAGACTCTCCTTATGCCCACAGCTCCACGAGCCACCTATCCCAGGCTTAGATCTCAGAGGTCAGGGCCAAACCTGGCCTGCACCAGTCACACGGGCCCTGAGTAAGTGCTGGAGCAGCCATGCCCCCAGGGAGCCTGGGCTGGGAATCTGCTCAAGTTGGAGGGTGGGAGCCAGAGGGGCCAACCTCAGGATCAAGCCCAAATACAGCCTGCCGGCCCCCAAGTGGAGCAGTGGGCAGCCTTCCCAGAATCTGGCCAGTCCCCTCCTTATCTGGGGTTGCAGGGCTTCCTAGCAGCAGTGCGGTGGGGCGGGGTGGGGTGGGGTGGGGTGGGGTGGGGGGAGGGACAGGGAATGCCTGCTAGGGCGCACAGCTCACCCTGAGGACCAGTGCAGTGCCGGTGCTGCTATGTCCAGGAAGCAAGGAAGCTTGTCAGCGCTGTGAAAGGGGTCTTAACGCCTGCTCTGCTCAGGGGCCCACAGGAAAGCTCGCGTGGCCAGGAGATGTCCGGACCCAAAAGTGAAACCACGTCCAGACACAGCGGCACGCCCAGGGCTCCCTCCCGGAACTAACCATGAGCCCGCCCCACTCCCGTCCTCCCAGAAGCCCGCCTGGGCTTCAGGAAACTCTAGTCTTTCCTGTAAGGGGGAGCCTTCCCCACACCCTGTCCTGGTACCTAAAACTGCATAGCGCTCCAAAGATACAGAAAATGTACAAATTGTCTGCAAGCACGTGAAAAGATGTTCAACATCCCCAGGCACCGGGAAAATGCAAATCAAAACCGTGAGAAGGCATCACACCCACTAGGATGGCTCGCATACAACAGAAGTAGCAAGTAGTGGGCAGATGTGGAGAACCGGGAGCCAGTGTGCTCGCAGGTGCAGATTTGAAAAGGCAGAGCTGCTTTGGCATAAGTCTAGCAGTTCCTCAAGCAAGTACACAATTTACCATGCCACCCAGTGATTTCACCCTTGAGTAAATGCCCAAAATAAAATTGAAAGCAAGAGGTCAAACAGATATATGTACACCAGTGTTCCTAGAAGCATTATTCGTGATAGTTAAAAGTGAAAATTTTTTAAAAAGTGAAAATAACAAAAATCTCCATCAGTTTATGGGTGGATAAGGAAAATATGGTAAATCCATACGATGGATAATTTCCTCCACACTTGTGGGTGTAGAGTTCAGGACCTCATGCATGCCAGGCAAGCACTCTACCACTGCACTGTCCCTCTGGCCTCCAAAAATGAAATATTGTTTAGCCTCTAACAGGAGGAAATGCTGACACGTTGTATGATATGGATTATCCTTGAAAACATCACACAGCTGGGAATCTAACTCAACCAGTGGCACAGCGCTTGCCTGGCAAGCACAAAGCCAGATACAAAAGACCACATGTCTTTGAGTCCATATGTGAAATGTCCAGAAGGGAGCCGGTTGGGACGGCGGTACCTGTAATCCCAGCACTTGGAAGATTGATACAGAAAGGTTGTCGCAAGTTCAAGACCAGCCTGGGCTCCATAGTGAGTTCAAGGCCAACCCAAACTACTTAATGAGACCCTGTCTCACTAAGATGAAAAATGAAAGAAACAAACAAAGATCCAGAGGGGGCAAATCCGCTAGTGGTTGCCAGGGTCTTGTGGAAGGGGAGAAAGGAGTGACAGCTAATGAGTATGAGATTTCTGTTTGGGGTGATGGAAATGTCCTAAATTTGATAAAAATGTCCTAAAATTGATTGTAGTGATGGTCACACACCTCTAAATGTGTTAAACCTCACAGAATTGTAGACATTAAGTGAATGAATTGTGAACTGTATCTCTATACACACACACACATGCACGCACACACATATATTTTTTAATTAATTTTTTTTGGGGAGTACTGGGAATTGAATTCAGGACCTTGCATTGGCCAGGCAGTTGCTGTGCTGCTGAGCTGTATCCCTGGCCCAAACCTGTGTATAAAATGTAGAGCTCCGTAGCAATGGTCAAGCTGGTCACAGGCTCCTCAGTACCCTATTGTCTTGGATCACCCTGACTGGTGTCAGGATCCTTGGGCCAGCCTGCTGCGCATAGTTGTCCTTAACCTCAGCCCTCCCGGCCCACCCTGTGGTTATAAATTGGGGCATTCTGGTGTAGGGCCCTTGTGAGTGTTCCCTCTCCCACATGTGGTCACAGTGGGGACAGAGTATAGCCACATCACCCCAATGTTGTCTACAAAGTGGGTATTATTTTGCATGCCAGGTAGGACGGAGGTTTTATCTCAGGACAGGCAGACTAGGCAGTGCTAGTCTCCCTTTAGGGCACAGCAGGCAGGGAGCTCACCTACAATACTGTCCCTGGAGAGTGGCAGCCTCTCCTTGCTGGGCAGTGTCTTGGTGAGTGTCCATGATGAAGCTTGAATGAACTAGGCACAGGCCATATCTGGGAGGCCACAGATATCCTTCACTCTGCCCTGCCCTAGCAACCCCTCTTGAGGGACTGAAGTACTGGCTGGGGCAGGGGGCTGTAGAACCATCTCTGGCTCATCTGCTGAGCCAGACCATACAACCCAACCTAGAGCTAGGCTGAGGGTGCCCAAGGCATGAGTGCAGTGGTAACCCAGAGCCCCTACATCTTTCTCTCTTCTCCTACCACCATATCTAAGCCTGGCCTCAAAGACACTCTGGGACTCATCCCACCCCGTGCCACTCTGCCCCACCCCACTGCCACCTGAAGGTTCCACCACTTTTTTTTTCTTTTCTTTCTTTCTTTTTTTTTTTGTCTTTTTGAGACAGTGTTTCACTATGCAGTTCATGCTGGCCTTGGACTCACTTTGTAGCCCTAGCTGGCCTTGAACTCATGGCAATCCTTCTGCCTCAGCCTCCCGAGTGCTAGAATTACAGGCATGCACCACCACGCCCAGCTCCACCACTGTTCTGTTCATGAAATGTATATATGGGCACCTGGGGCCGATCTCACACGGGCAAGTTCTAGTGGTGAACAAGACAAGGTCTCTACCCTACACTGAGGATGTTTTCTGGTGTGTATATTGGAATGCTGCAACTTCAGACAACTGGAAACAGGTTCAAACAGAAAACTATTTTGTGTAGGCAGAAGCCCTGAACTACTGTGTGCTCCAGGCCAGGCTCCACTGGCAGAGACCCTGTTGGCTGATGGGCACCCTCCCGGTATGAGTGCAGCCCTTGGAACCCATTTGCTGCAAATAAGCTCTGCCAGTGTCCTTGCTGGTGGTAGCAGGAGGCTCCAAGAGGCTGAGTAGGGCCAAGTGTGTGTTTGCACACACGTACATGTATGTATGTGTTGTGTATATAGAAGTGTGTATTGTGTTGACAGATGTGTGTGTATATGTGTTTATGTATGTGGTCTCTTGAGTGCAGGGTGAGCCTCCTTGTGGGTTTCCAGCAGGAGTACTGTTCTAGAAGGCCTACTGCCTTGTCAAGAATGGGGTGCAGGCAGCCTGTGGGACTCTGTCTGAGGCAGCAGTACCAAGTGGGTGCCATCCGTGGGCAGAGGATCCTGGTGACTGAGGAGGCAGTGCAACACCGTGCTGCCAGCCTGCAGATGTGCCCTGGGGTGACCCCTTTCCAGCTGGGCACTAGCTTGGGTGGTGCATCCCTGGTGCAACTTCTTGCTCACGTTTGCAGTTCTTTAGTAATAACTCAAAACAAGAAGTGCAGAGCTTGGTGGTTCTGGACTCGAGACTGACAACTGGGAGAGCAGGATGTGAGGAAAGGCAGAAGGAAGTGAAAGGGGCCAGATGGTACCCACCTCTTAACTTACCCCTCCCACTCATAGGCTGGGGGCTCCCAGTTCTCTGGAGGCCCAGGAATTCTGGGGGCATCGAGTCTACTCACAGTCATCCTGGGAAATAGGTTCCCTTCTTCTGCCCAGGTTAGAGAGATTGGTGAGGCTGTACTTGGGCAAGGTCTGGACCAGCCTTTAGGGTCAACAGTCCAGGATGACACCACATCCTAGTGGCTGAGCTGTGATCAGGGACCAGAAGTCTGGCAGGGGGTTTCTGGTTGAGTGTGATGAGGGGCCAGCATACTTGCTCAGGGTGGGTCAGCTGGATGGGGCTCTGAGGAAGAGGAACCTTACCGTGCAGCCTGTGAGAACACAGGGACTGCCACCCCGGCAGGAAGCGTGGAACTCAGAAGGGTGAGGCACTGAGAGATCTGCCCTGACTCAGAAGCAAGCACGACCGGGATGACAGGGCTGGGCGTGAGGATAACAGGGCCACACAAAGGCTGCAGGTGCAAGGGAAGGGAGTCTCGCAGGGCCCCTCTGTGTTGCAGCCTCCTAGTGAGACCCATGGAAGTCCCCCGGCTGAGGAAGCCTGCTGAGCCCTGACATCTTTGGGTTGTTTGACTCTCGACCCATCTAGCCTGCCCCTGTCCCCTTTGCTCTGTCCTCTCTACTTGTCCTTCTTGGAGTGCCTCTGTTTTATTTATTTATTTATTTATTTATTTATTTATTTATTTATTTATTTATTTTGATACTGGGAAATCGAATTCAGGACCTTGTGCTTACCAGGCAGGCGCTGTGCCACTGAGCTATATGCCAGGCCCATTGTGCTTCTCTCTGTTAGCACTGTATCCTCTGCAGGGGGCTGCTATGACCTTGGGCAGACTGCTGGCAATGGGTGCTGGCCAGGGTGGCCCTAGAACAGAGGGTTGTTGGGTTCAGAGATGCCTGGGAGTTAGGAGGCAGCAACAGAGTCCACTACACTAAGGGAAGGAGGGAGTGCAGCTCACAGCCAGCTCCTGAGGGCAGAGAGAGTGGGTCTGAGGTCGGAATTGTCTGCAGGTAACCCAGGCCCCGCCTTCAGGCGTCCCTCCCAGGCACACTACTCTGACTGTTTCCTCCTGGGATCTCTGCGGCTAGGCAGGCTGAGGGGGTTGAAGGGAGCACAGAACTCTCTGTTTCACCCCACCTGACTGGCTTTTCCTCTCCTGGACCTGGGTCACTTTGCTAGAAGACAGGTACTCCCAGAACCCAAGTGTTGCTTTGGGAACAAGCCTGTTTTTCAGGTAGGTGGGGACTCCTCAGGTTTTTTCAGGCCTAGTCCAGGTAGGTAGAAGACTGGACCTTGACAGTCACACCAGTAATGGTCCTCAAGAGCCTGGTGGATATACCCTGTCCTAGGCAAAGGAGACCAATTTCAACCTAAGTAACAGATTCTCCAAAGAATAATGATAGGCATTTGACAAGGGGATGTTTTTAAAAAGCAAAAACAGAGACACTCATGTCAGCAGCTTGGATACCAGTTTTTGGTCTTTGAAATCCGGTGTGGCAGGACCTCAGGTCAAATCAGTATGCAGGCGACTTTGCTGAGTTCTGTCCAGAGAATGCTGTCTCAGTTGCTAGTCTTAGAGAATATGGAAGATAAACTTTGTTACAGATATCTGTGCATGCATATGCCAGGCATGCAAACCATGTAGTGAATGTAGAACAAGGAATCTCTCCTGGGGCACTTGGGAAGTCCTTGAAACTGTGCTTATCTCTGACACACAGAGGCCCTCCCTGTGATTACTTCACTTCCAAGCACTAGCTTTGCCTGGGTCTGAC